CCATTTTCGTAGTTTAACGCGGCGAATCGGATCGGATCGGATCAGTCACGAAAATATGCAAATGCCGAATGCAGCCCGAGTCAGCAATTAAGAGACACGCACAATATCACACATAGTTGACATCGGGGATATAGGTTGAAGAATAGGATCGTAGATCTATAGATAATAGAGCACTAGACATAGATATGTAGACCAACAAAACTATTTAAATTAAATAAATAATTAAATCTATTATTAAATAATTGATTAATACATTATTTTATTTATTTTATTTTTGATTATTTTATTTTCACAATTTTTGTTGTGCATATTTCCATCCGTTATTTTTATTTCCTTTGGTAACCTATTAAATGCTTGATTCTTCTGCATTTTCAATATATTCTCAAATTGTTCGCCTCAATATCGATCGTGTACCGGCTGCTGTATTAAATTTCAATGAGCAGAGAACAAAACGATCATCAAATACGGCGCAGCTGAGAGGAAAATAAGCAAAGATACAGAAAAGCGAAAATCTGAAGGCATTAACAAACACATTTTTAGCAGTCGGTGGTGCAGAGATGCGGAATCGGGGGAGGGGGGGCTATAGCCCGAAAAAGTTGTTGATGGGACGCCAACGAGATAGCTTCCACAGTGCACAGTGGGGCGAGATGCTTATCTGGGGAATTAAATTGAATAAAATTAAATACAACAGGCAAACCTATGTATGTGAGATTTAGATATGTATCTATGTATAAATCAATCATTATGCATACTGTATGCACATTCGTAATTGTTTTTATCTCTGTTCTATTTGCATTTTCATTTTCGTTTCACGGTGCTTTGTCTGTGCGTTCTGCTTCTTGCTCTTATCTTTGCTTTTGCCTTATTGTCTAGGTGAGGTCGTCGCAAAAGGCAGAAGCAGATAGGAAAGAGGAGCAGGAGGAGGAGGAGCTGCGAGCTGGTGGAGAGACAGAGAGAGAAAGAGAAACAACGAAGAATTGGGGGGCGGGCGGTGTGCGGCTCATTTAACGTTTGGGCATGTTTAATTTATAAAGACGCTCTCTTTTACACCTTCCTCTCTATTTTTGCGTAAATACAGGCAGAAAATTGCATACCACTCTATGTTTTTTCCACACGTTTGATTAATCTCATATTTTTGTTTATTTTCCTGGCATGTTTCTTATTAGTTTTTTTTTTGTGTTGAGTTTTCAATTTTTCTTCGCTTCATTTCGTTACGTTTTCGTTTTTGTTTGTATTCTTTTGTTGTAGTTGTTATTGCTCTTGATAAATGTCAAACAAATGACGACGCCGCTCTCCGACGCTCGCTCTCTCTCTCTCGCTCTCAGCCGCTGTCGCTGTCTTGCTCGCTCTCCCACTTAGCCTCGCTTTGTCAACAGACGCAAAACGATCGTTTTGTTTTTGATTTTGCGTCGCATCGCGTCTTCTCTTTCCTTTTTTTTTTTTTTGTTGCTGTTCCCCTTGGCAATCTATTCTCATTCTGCTTCTTTTTTTTTCCTGAACCCTCTTTATTGAATATTTTATTGTAACTCGTTTTGTTTTTACAAAATGCGCAGTTTTAAAACTGTGCTCTGTTTTAATAAATAAAAATTAGTGATCAATGAGGTTAACGTCCCAAATATAGCATACTTTTTCGGGGCCCCAAGTAAAAGATTAACTGAGATTAAAAAAGTATTATTAGATAATCAAAAATCGAAATCCAAAAACACATAAAAACCAACAAAACTACAAGAAAACAAAACTATTTGATTTTATTGCCTGCTGCTTTTGTATTTGTATTTGTTTATTCTCAGCGTGCTGCCACAATTAGCGTATTTTGCATGCGTAGAGAGGAAAAAAAAACAAACCCATAACGAATGCTATCTGGAAAATTTTCTCATAAATATGTATGAGCAAATAAAGCGTGGCTCTTTATTATAATCTCAGCATTTAAGCATAAATTATATAAAAAAATAAATATAAATAAAAAATTTCAGAGGAAACGAAGTTGGAAAAATACATAAGAAAAATAAAAAAAAATGGGACCAAACAAGTAGCAAAACAAATTGGTAACACAAAGCCCTCACAATCACATGATAATTTGCCGAAGGCCGAACGCCAAATATCGCTCGGTGCAAGACTTTTGTTAATCTGATTTAATTTAATTTGTTTGCTTAGTTTCGACTTTCGATTGACTGTTAATTGCCTTGAGCAACAAACAAGACAACGCAAATTTTAAATTTTAAAACTTCCCGCCCCACAACCGTGCTGCCCATGATAGAGAAAATGAGGTAAAACAGTTAAAGGCAGCGACTCTGTTTGGGGCAGCACTGTTTTATGGGTTTTGCAACTTGAGTACAAGATGGCGCCAGTTGTAACGGAACCACAGATGGCGCCAGAGGTTTCCTTTTTATAAAAGATTTTTAGTTTATATTTAAAATCACAAATCGTTAAATAAGATATTATATAAAATTAAATTCCGGTTGGGCAAAAAATACAACAAATTAATAAAAGAAAAAACCAATCAAAATTTAACCTATAAATTATTAAATAACTAAGGAAACAACGAAAATCAAATGTGTATTGCCTAAGGACTTAGTTTTAAAATTAATGAATACCTTTACTTAATAATAACATTAAATAAATATGACAAAAAACCGAAAATAAAGGAAATTAACTATTTTCCGAAATACTTTAATAATTATAGTTTAAAAGATATATCAATATTTTCCGGTATGTCGAATACACCCCTAAAATCTAAGGATTATTTTCTATAAAATAGTACTTTTCTTTTTCTTCTTAATTTTTTTTTGAATAAGTATAACAAATAATTAGGTTACCCTTTTATGCTGCTTTTCCCTTCTGTTCCTTTTCTTTTAAGCTCTCAAAAAAAAACAAAAAAAAAATAAAGGGGAATCTATCAATTAGGGAAAAAGCTTTAAGCTGTCAACACGCCCAAGTACTTGGCGTTTTCTTTTTAAAACACGGACCCCCTCCACCTTCCGTCTTCCCTTTTGGGGATAAGCCATTGCTGCCTGCATTCATTGTTTGCCTAAAACTCCCCCAACCTCGCCCAACTCTGAAGGGTTTTTCCTTCGGGTTTCCATTTCCAGTTTCCCTTTCCCCTACTTTCCTTTATTTTTTTTGTTGTTGTTTGCCGGTTGCCTGTTGCCAGTTAGCTCGTCTTGTCATTGGTAAAATGCTGGCAAGTTGAGCGGGCTTATATTGTTGGGGAATCCCCCCGCTGGCCAGCATCCTTGTCTCCGTCTTGAGAGTGGAAACCGCTGCCAATTGTCGACTGTTGCATGAATTATGAGCGTCTACCAAGATTTATGAATTCGAGAGGATAACAAAAGTATCCACCTCCTTCTCCTGCTCCTGCTCCCGCTCCTTATCCTTGCCTCGCAGCGAAAAAGGCAAAAATCTGTCAGCTGTTAAGTTGAGTTATAAATTTCCTGCAATTAGCTTGAATTTCAATTTTCTCTCTCTTACAATTTTTGGTACTTACTTTGATTACACATGATGATGATGACGATGACAATAACAATGATAATGATGATGAGCAGCTCGTTCTCCCTCCAGCCTATCGACATCTCTTGTTCTGACTGTACACCGCGGTTTCAGTTTTTTTTGTTTTGGTTTTTTGCCTTTTTTTATCGAGTGTCTCCTCTGCAGTTTTTCCACCTCAATGTGCAGAAATTTGCAAACTCATGGAAATCCATACGTTTGATAAACAATACACACACCCACACAAACGAGAAGCAACAAGAAGCGACATGCAAAAAGGCAAGTAAGAAAGCCACTGCAAAGAAGGCACGACTGCACTTTACCCGGTAGCCTTAGGTGGGTGGTTTGTATCATAAAGTTTAAAAATATCGAGTTATCGAAAATACATTATACAAATATTATTTTATTTAATTTGTCTAGATTTTCTTTTATATTTTTCAATATATTAAATAGAGTATAATTTTCAAGGACATATGTATATCTAAAAATGAGCAAGTTTTCGTTTTTGTCATCCCTAGTTTTTCTAGAATTTTTATACTTAATGAAATCGTTGATATACAAGTTATAATACCCCTATACTCCAGTGCAGCTCTGGCAGAAACGGATACGGAAACGGAAGTCGCCATAGCCGTGCATGTGTTCATTAAGCAACGAGTAGCAAACAAAATCAATGAATGGTGTAAAAATTAATATCCTGTGGGCCTTAAATGAAACAAAAAAATAAAAAAGAAAATAAAAAATAATACATAAAAAAGGCTCGAAGGGAAGGCAAAAAAAATACGCAAAAGAATTGCGGAGCATCGTTCTGTGTGCCATCCAGCAGCCGGCAGCAGTTTTAATTTACACAAAGCGTAGTCAGGCGTGTAATGCGCTTCGCAGGGGCGTCAAGGAAGGGGGGGTTCTTGGGATGCTTCAACATTTAACAAATGCCTTGAGGCAGTGGCAAAAAGATGGGCGAACAACAGCGGCGACGTCAACAGCGTCAAATGATTTATGAAATTACTTTTGTCGCTGCATACTTTCAGGGGCGACAGGCAGGAGGAAACGGAAGTGAAGAACCAGAAGAAGAACCAGAAGAAGAAGTATAGCTAAAGATGGAGTAGGAGCAGCGGCTTGTCCTGATGATGATGGAAGGTGTCAAGTGATACGGTGGCTTCAGCTTTTCTTCTTCAAAGATTTTTCACAACAAATCTACCTTTCATTTGATCTTGTTTATGCATTTTGAGACCAGAACAAGTTGGGAATTATAAAATCAGTTTAAGAATATAAATATAGGATTTTTTTATATTATTAAAAATAAACCAAATTCATAGAACAATGGAATGGCATTACCTTTTTATATCCTTCCTGGGTATTATCATTTCAGAATAAATAAGTAAGTTTTCAGGGATATTTCATAGCTTTTTATTTTTTATTAATATTATAGTTTTATTTTTGTTTGCTTTATTTATAATTTTATATATATTTTTTATATTTTATTTATATATTCTTTATTACCTAAACCCCCTGCCTGCCGCTCAATCGATCTGCGTGATGGAGGCCTCGTCGTTGCTGGAATAGCGACTACTCTCCCCATCCGTTCGGTACTTGATGGAGTCTATGATCTCCACATCGATGTCACAGTTGCCCTGCCCACCGCCAGAGCCCTCGCCCTCACCCTCACCATCGCCCTCGCCCAGGCAACCACCGCCAGGACCCACAGCCGTGTCGCTGGAACCCCTGCCCATGGAATCCTCATCACAGAGATCCGGCACCGAAAGCGAGGCGCTGACCGAGGCCGAGACCGAATCCGATTTGGCAGACTCCGTGTCCTGGTTCTGCTGCACCTGGGCCTGATGATGGGCAGCAAACTGGCTGTAGAGGCGCGGCAGATGCTGGAGCATATAGCTGGCACTGGACTTGGACAGATTGGCGGCGGCAGCAGCGGCGGCGGCGGCTGCCGAGAGATGATTGGCGGCCACCGTACTGGAGGCTGTGGCCGTGGGCTGATTCTCTTTGGTCTCCCCAAGGTCATAGTACTTGGCATAATGCTCGAATTTGCTGCCCAAGACACTGACACTGGTGGGGGAGGTGGCTCCACCAGCTCCTCCTGCTCCTCCTCCCCCATTGGGATTGGCACACAAATTAATGGCATCACTCTGAGCAGCCTTTGGTATGGGCACTGTGAAGGCGGAGCCATGACGCTGCTTGCTCAAAAGATTGCCACCTAAGGAGGCAGAGGATGAGGTGGTGGTAGTGGTGGTGGATGAACCCTCCTCGCCAATGGCATTATTGCTGGCCGACAAAGGCGACACATTCTCCTTTTTGCGATCGTAAATGTGCCCAGAGACTCGCAGATCAATGAAGAAGTGCAGCGGATCGATGCCGTAGGGTGCATACAAAGGTGGATACCACACGGGCGGTGGCGGTGGCAAAACCAAATCCTGCGGTGGCAATGAAGCCGCCGGCGGTGTATTATCCTGCAGAGCAGAGTCCACAGCGCCACCAAGTCCCAGGCCGAGACCAAGACCCGTGGCTAGGGTTTTGGGTGGCGGCGGCAGGGCTGCTGGCTTGGTCTCCAGCTTGGCATAGCCATAGGGGGGAGTGGGTGTGGCAGCGGTAGTGGGTGTGGCCAGGGACTTGTTGGTCAGCTCTAGGGGCTTCTCCGGCTGCTGCTGCAGTTGCTGCTGCTGTTGCTGTTGTTGCTTCTCCTCCGCCTCGCGTCGCTCGCGCAGCTGCTCGTAGTAGGGACGATGTGACCAGGATCGCTTCCTTGGACGTCGCACCAGCGAGGCCTGATGGTGTTGCTGCTGCTGTTGTTGCTGATGTTGCTGCTGTTGCTGCTGTGCCTGCTGCTGTTGCAGCTGCAGCACTCGCGCTGTCTCATTGTTCCTGGCCTGGACCAGGGAGCGCAGCATGTCGCTGAAGAAAAAGTTGTTGGGACCCACGGGCGCCGAGTACAGATATGGCGGAGTGGCGGCCATCAGGCGACTCACATAGTCCTGATTGCGCAGCTCATGGATGTTGCTTTTGCCACGCTGTTGCGGGGTCTGCTGCGGATCTGCTGCAGCGGCTGTGGTGGCTCCAGTTCCTGCTCCTCCTGCTCCTCCTCCTGCTCCTCCAGCTCCTACTCCTCCTCCTCCACCTCCTCCTGCTGAGGGCGTTGTGGGTGCCGTGGGCGTGGCACTGCCTCCAGTTCCTCCAGTTCCTGTTCCCGCTGGCATCCCTGCTGCGCTGCTCGTGGAGAGGCTGTCCTTCATCCTGAGGAGAGAGAGAGGGAGTAAGAGATGTTCTGCTGAAGTCACTTGAGAATTTATTTGTATAGGAAATCCCACTTAAGTATATTTGCATTGTCTCTGGCCAAGGATCCACCTTTTCCATGTCCCCCTCTCCTCTTGAGGGACAATTAAATCTGAATTTTGTGCTTTCTGTCTTGGTTTTTGTCTTGGGTGTAGTCTTGGTGTGAGTTTTCTTGGGGGTTTTCACCATCCAAAAAAGGAACTTAGAAATCGTTTTTAAAGTGTTTAAGATACTAGTTTGTGTAATTATAATATTAATAAAGTGTTTATAAATTATTTATTTATTTATTTATATAAAATAATTTATATACAAATAATTCATTTAAATAAAAAAAATATTAAAACAAAAATTAATTTAAATAATTTGTACAAAATTATTATTTTATCAATAAAACACTCTCTTGACATTATAATTCCCAACTAGTTCTATCATCTTTTGAGTGGTAACCCAGCTGAATGTTGAGTTTGAGTGGTAAAAGGGTTTTTAGGGCCTAAATCTATCTATCTATCAAGTAGCTCTCAAGTATCTATCTAGTATCTATCTAGTATCTATCTAGTATCTATCCAGTACCTATCCAGTATCTCTGTATCTCTCAAGAATCTCCCAAGAATCACCTAGTTTCTATCTAATATCTATCACGATCTCCTACTGCTTGTCATATACCTTTTCCCCTGTATTCCCTGTAAACCTAAAAATTACCTATGACTAAGCTATCTGAAAAGTAGAAAAAACCTGGATAATATCTAGATATAACCACAACGAACCCATCCCAAACATCCCTTTGTTTCACACACCTGATGGCGCCGCCTAAGCTGCCTTTGTTTTGTGACTTTATTAAGCCAACATCTGTGGTGAAACCAGGTTTCAAAAACACCTTCTTTGCACCCCACCTCCCATTCCAATGAAGGTTTAAAATTTGCATAGGAAAACAGGAAAGGCAGGCAGGCAGCCATACCCTCCGTCAAGCTGTTAATAAGCTTACACACATTGCGCCAAATTCCAGTAAATTAAATGTTTCAACAGAGGTGGAGGAGGAGGAGGAGGAGGAGGCCCCCGCGAGCATCGAAGGACAAACTCAATTGTTGTGTCGCCAAACTCAGCTCAGGCACTTGACGCCGTGTGCCGGCTGCTGCCTTGCCTGTATCCTGTGCCTGTCAATTCTAACCAGGAATCGGGAGTGTCGGGCATCAGGCATCAGGGGGTGTGGCAGGACCCACCGTTGCACTTCCTCCCCTCGAGCCAGTTGTTGCTCTTTCATTTTCGCATTTAAAAAAGTTTTTTAACAAGCCACAGCCGTCGCCTGTTACACTCGCTGGCTGGAAATGCCCTGTAATAATAGGGCAAGCATGGGGTATGCACGAACCAGAGGGATCAGAAGGGTAGTTGAGGTTTTGTAACACAAAAAAAGTTGGAGGAATAACTTTTAATTTGTTAAATTTTTAATTTGCTGATAGATTTTCCTTCTGGCTTAAGGAGAGGACATGTTAGATCCTATTTCTAGGCAAGTGCCTCTCTCTGCGCTTCTCATAGTCTAAACCTAAGCAAGTGCCTTTCAATTAATCAAAAGGTATTCTCTGCTTCCATATCCACTCAAAAATATTACTCTCGTGGCATTCATTTGCGTTCTTTCCGCTTTTTACCGCTCTGCTTCATGCTGGATTTCTGACATTTCATTCGTATTTTTATTGTCTTTTCATTTCGTTGTAAAAATATATAAAAGTTTTCAACTGTCGCAAAAGGAATGTGTGTGTGTGTGGGTGAGGAAAGGAAGGAAGGAGGGAGGCACTGCTGTTGATTTGCATTTTTTGGCAGCCGTGGCTGTTATTCTGTTTTTGCGACAAAGTTGAAATTAGATTATGCTAATTAAGGCCTGTCCCCGTCCTGAAAATTCCGTTGATTTCAACGCCACTGATTGATGCTGGACAGGAGAAGCGAAACGGAGCTTTAATTGCCACTTTTAAGTGGAATGAGAAGGATGATGATGAGGAAGTGGATGAGGAGCAACCACCATTACCCTGGTTGCTAGAGTAACTGCCAGGAATTTTAATATTCAATCAGCAGCTGTTGGGTAAGTTTCTTTTATTATTTCTTTTATGGCCCACGCCCAAGTTTTTAGCGCAGAAGTTTTTCCAGCAGAAACTGAGATTGTGGTCTGGGCGAGGATTAATGCGCCAAGTGCAGTCCGACTTTTGTTTGTCTTTCGTCTGGGGATAAGCTGGAAACTAACTTTTGCATAATTCTACCGATTCTCCCCTCTCTCTCTCTCTTCTCGCTTTGCAAACAGCGGCAATTAAAACGGGAGTATACTACTGGGATATTCATTCAACCCAGCCAAGGACGCGCCCAGCTGATTGATGTCCCATCGTCATTGAAGCCACCCCCTGGGCTGAGCCAACCCTTGCAAGCTTACACACACTTAACTGGCACTTGGGCCTGGGCAACCTTATAACATAATTACAGCATATCAAACAACGATAAGTCGACCACTCCAACCCGTCGTCTACCCCCTGAAAATCGGCTAGCAACCCTCGAGCCAGGTGAATGTGTGATTGCAACCCCGATAGGAGTCTGGGTAAGAGTTCAGGTCTGGCTGTGATCGTGTTTAGGCTGCAATGTGGGGCATTTTATTTCTTGAATTTATCATAATATCAAAATTATCCAAATTTAAACGTCATTAAATCATTTAAAAAAGTTATTTTAAGTTTAGATTTTTTGACAAGTTTCAATTTAATAAATAAATTTATCAGATTATCCAAATTATTTATATTTAAAAGTATTTAAATCATTAAAAAAGGTTTTTTAAAATTAGTTTTATTGATCAGTAATAAAAATAAATAATACTTTTAATTGGCGAACAACGTGGGGCGTTTTATATATGAGGGTACCACAATTATTAACATTTATAATGCCTTTATTTATTAAAAAATGTATATATATATATATTTTAAATACAACTTTATTTAAAGAAAAAACAAGGAAAATAAACATAATATAAAACATATTCAGAATTGACGCCCAACGTGGTGCTTCAGAAGTGTAGAAAAGCCAACTAAATACAGATCCTTTATAGTAGAAATGAAGCACATCCATAAAAGATGATAAAAACAATTAAAAACTTATAAGTAGTAATATTAAAATATAATAAAATTTTATATTTATATGTCAAAATGTTAATAAAAAACGAATTAAACGTTTTAGAAAGCCAGTCATATATTGTCCTGCTAATTGAGCCAGCATTTTGGTCTCTTATTTAACCCATTCCTCTACTGCTCTTGCTTCTCCTCCTGTCCCAGCTCCCGCTCCTTCCTCTGCTCCTGTCCTGTCCTGTATTTAACCCACTCCACTCTGACACAAGAGCTCACACACGCAGACAGATGAACTTGTTGGTTTGTTGGTGACATTGTCGTTGTGGTGTTAACGTTACAGCGTTTGACTGCGAATTAAAATAATGTGCCACTTGTGGCTCTCTCTCTCAGAGTGTGTCCATGTGTGCATGGAGACCCCTGCTCCGGGATCCCTGTTCCCTGCTCATGTGTGTCGCCCCGAAAATTTGACAAAATTTCATTTGCAACTTTGCCCGCTCGTTGCGGCAAATCGAATTTGATTTGAACCCTTTTTTCTGGCAGGTTCTCCCTGTGCGTTATACGAGTTTTTGGCAAAAACAGGAAAATGCCAAATGGTTGAGTCCCGGAGAGTGAAGTGCAACCCCTGGTTATCGCTGATGGATTTGTGGCTAGGTGGAGTGGTCGTTGAAGTATTGCCTATAAGATCTTGTTTTATAAAAAATGTCACAGTGATAAATTCTAGCTTGCTTATTTCTGTGAAACCTCAACTTTTGGCCAAGCTCTACTTTTATTTAAAAAAATATTTTATAGACATTTTTTAAATGAATTTATTTCCTGGAATAGGCTGTTAATATTTTATAATATCTATCTATCAGAAAAAAACCAAAATCGCAAAAATTTATAATGGTTTCAGTGAAATCTTTGAACTAGATATATATTTTATTATATTATTCCAACTTTGCCACACTTTGTTCCAGTTTAAAAAGTCTAAAAATTACCTGAAATGTATTTTATTTAAGACTTAATTTAATTTTTTATTTAATTTTGATTTCCTTTATTTCATTTTGGATTTTCCTTAATCCTATCTTGCTCTTAAAAGTCGTTTCTCACCTTTGATAATCCAGATGAGAAATATATTTCCTTGATTTTAGCTTAAAACTCACACATTCACTTGAAAAAAATATATAAATAATATTTATTTTTGCATTTATATTGATTATGCTTATATTTAAGAATTAATTTTTATATATTTTTCAATTTATTTATTATTTATTTTTATATTTATTTCGAAATTTATTTTTGTATTTATTTTTATATTAATATTAGTTATTAACAATTCAGAGGACACCGAGAACTGCCGTCGATGACAGTTAAAAATCAAATGAAATGACTGCCAGCAGCAGCAGCAGCAGCAGCAGCATGAAAGCAGAGCAGCACGAAAGCAGCAAAGCAGCAAAGCAGAGCGGCATCAGCCAACGAGTCCTGAGGCCGAGACAGAAACAGAAGCGGAAAACCAGAGACCGAGAACCAGGACGATGCAGAGCCAGAGGCGGCAGGACCAGAGTTCGCTGCGATTTTAAAATTATGAATTGTTGGAAATGAAGCGAGCCAGAAACTGGTGGGTGGCTGCGCCCCAGTCGCTGTGGCATTGGTGGTGCGCATCAGCAGCAGCAATAGCAGCAGCAGTGGCAGCAGCATCCACAACAACAGTGGAAAAGTGTTAATGGAAACCACCCTTGGAAAGGTAACGTAAAAAGCCTCGAAAAAATATGTAGAAACTCATGAGTCTGCGAGTTGATCGCTTTTGAAAAACTTGGTTTTTGAAATAAATAGTATTAATTAATAATATAAATAATATGATAATCAATAAATAAATAATATAATAATTATACATAAAAACTTAATTAATATATACATTTGGAAAAGCAAATAACACAATTTACCCAAGACCTTTACAGGTTCTAAATGCAACTCACAATAAGCAAAATCAGCTTTGGCGGTTTTCATAAAAGACTTAAGTTTATTTTTAATATTTTAAAATATATAAAATATAATTAAAAATACCCCCTTATATTTTTTAGAATATTAATTATAAATATTTTAAGAATAATATCAGTTCCCAAACTTCAACTTTACAGTTCATTCAAACCTGCTTTTTCAAAAGCAGCAATAAATGCACTCTACTTTGCTAGAAAAAATCGCTTTTGGCCTCATCATTATACCATATCGTGTGATTTATACATATGTATTCATAGCATATAGCATATAGCAGTCTAAATGCTAAACCTTTTACCCTGAAACTGGTCCGTTTTCAATTACCATCCGCTGGCGATGCTCCTGCTGCTGCTGCTGCTGCTGCTGCTGCTGCCATTGGAACAATGGATGCAATCCTTGGCTACGGCCAACGACATGTTGCTAGAACGACAGCGCTTGGCCGATGGTATGTGGTTGCTATAATTTCTATTACAATGCGGATTTCCGGATGTGCGGTTATATGTTCGCCTTCTTTGCTTAATTTTTTTTTACAGCAGCAACAGAAGCCACTGACTGTTTGCGACTTCATTAGCGACACCTCCCCGGCAAGCTGTTGCCAAGCAATTGTCTGTATAAAGGACAGTGAAAGAAATTATATAGATAGTTGGATAATATATTTAAATTAAAATTATAAGAGCTCTCAAAAGGGGTTCCGTTTTAGTTAAAGTTAAAAAAGGGATTCCTAAGAACCGATTGGTTTAGCCTTTTTCCATTGCGCTCTCTTGAGATTACTTAATTATTTGCATAATTTGATTATTACTTTTTACGTGGTCTTAAATTCGCAAGTGGTTCTAGCACAATATAAGTGACATTCCAAGCCATGAGCAAGCAATCTAGAAAGAGAAAGTAAGCGAAAGAGAAAGCGTAATCGAGAGAGAGTTAGAGTAAGCGAAAGAGAGTGAGGAAGAGAGAGAAAAGGTAAGCTAGAGGGAGAGAGAAAGTGAGCGAAAGAGAGCAAATGGCTTTCTTCCTCTCGTGCTTTAAAATTCTCAAGTGGTTCTGGCACAGTATAAGTGACATTCCCTAGAAATGTTAAAATTTTCGTACCAGAATTTCCTCCAAGTGCATTTGCAAGCCGCCAGACTTGGCCAATGGCACGCGTATGCGGTTGCAGGAGGAGCAATAGCATCGGGATGTAACTCCATTTCGGTTTGGTAAGAGTTTGGGGCTTGTTTGAAATAAATACCACATTTTTTTTTGGTTGTCGCTTTTTTTTTACCAAAAAGAGAAGAAAGCAAGTGCTAGTGTAAAGCTCCCATGGCTGCACATCAAACATCAGCACGGAAGGAAGCTGTTGCTGTTGCCGTGGCTGTGCCCATGCCCGCCCAAGGGGGAGGAAGTGGGTTTTGTGGGGCAACACCGACATTGTCTAGTGGCTGGAATGGCATCACATTCCCTCCTTCCGCCACCAAGGCTGTGAATGTTTACACTTTGGATTTGCTACTGGTCGTCGCACCCTTTTCCCCCTTCTACCAATTTTTTTTCTTTTTCGTTTTTTTGTATTTTGTATTTTTTTTTTGTTAAACCATTACCATTTTTGGGTTGGACTCTGCTCGAGATTTAAAATGTATCTCGGTTAACGGTTGTTATGGCAATCCGTCCGGCTGAAAGTACGGCGTGTAGCAGCGGCTGTTGCAGTTGAAAAGGGGGATTCCCACAAGCAGACGAGATTCCAGAGAGAAAGAGATTTAAAAGAGTGCGTAGCTCTCTCAGTGAGTGCAGCATCTACGTTTGCTTGTACATTGCAGGCAAAGCGTGAATAAGAATATGAGTAAAGCGTTTGATTAGGTTTTTTGGGTGATATATTATATAAAAAATACTTTAAAAAATGATCTCGCTTAATTTTATATGAAAACTATTGTAAATTCTGGAAAATTGAATTTAAGTATCAACTTTTGTTTTAAATTACAATACAGTAACGTGTATTCATTATTTAATGCCTTTCTAAAGCTAAATTAATTTTTAAAGTAATTATAAATCCATAAAAATGTATTTATTTATTTATTATTATTTTTTTTAAGTGAATTATAGATTTTCCTCAACTGTTAAAGTAACTACTTATGTTAGGTGATGTATGATCTTTCTTCTCATTTATGCCTGCAACACCGCAACGTCTCTTATACATGCCACACACACAGTTTGTGCCACTTTTGTGTGGCGCATCCATTTCCGCTTGGTCGGCGGCACCACCACCCATCACCATCCTCCTCAGAGGCCTCAACCCAGCCACTCGCTTGCCATATTATCCTTGCTTTTATTGTGATTTTTTTCACATTTCACTCGAGCGTTGATTGAAATGTTCAACGAACGAGTGGTGTGTGTGTGTGTGTGTGTGTGGGTGGGTGGGTGTATGCACAGGGAGACACACAGACAGACAGGGATGGCCGCGCTGTGGGTGGTGGGTGCACAGGGAAAAAAGAGAAAATGCGATATTGTTGCAAGATCGTGACTTTGTTTTGTTGATTATTTCAAGTTTATATTTTAGTTAAGTGTTAAAAAAATAAAAATATATTTAAATATATATAAAATATCGAAAAATATCGCTTGTAAACTTCAAATATCGAAACTTTTAAGGAAATAATTAGGGAAATCATCTAAATTTTTTATTAATTTTAAAATTGAGTTATATAAAAACTATTTCTCTCAGTGTTCTTGGGCTCGTTTTGTTTGTTTGCATGTAAATTGCAATGTGCCGCCGTTGTCGTTGCCGCTGTCGCTGTGTGTGCCCCCTCTCGGCTCACTCAATTTTTTTAGATTTTAAACTTTGTTTCTTGTCTTTTTGTTAAATGTTTGCCGCTGTCGCCTTTTGCGCCCTCCCCCGCCGTTCCCTGTTCCACCAAACCCCACTGATTGTCATTTGCTTTTAGCGGCGTCACCACACCACCCACCACTCCCCATTATGAGTGGTCCATCATCCATTCCATTCCATCCATACCAGCCATCCATCAAGGACAATCAAGGCAGACGTTCGCGAGCCTTTCGTGGGTTTGATTTTTATGTTTTTTTTTTTTTTTGTGGCAAGAATTCGGTTTCCTTTTTATTCTCAATTTCAATTTCCTAAAATTTTTCGGCTAATGAATTAGTGGGCTGCGTGGTGGGCTTTACCTTTAATTAAATTTAAATTTTATTTCCTGGTTGTTAAGGCGGTTTTAGATGGATTTTAAGAGTGAGATGATTTCAATTTGGAATTTAAAAAATGTAGTACAATTTTATTTTGAATTTTTAAGATATTTTATTATTAATTAAGAGAGAATTTAATAGAGAATTGGGGTATGTAAGAATTTTTAATATTATTTTTAGATGGTATATTAATTTTTATAAATTTTTAATACCTTCAGAAATATTTTTAATATCTAAAATTTCCTTCTGATATATTCCATATAAAAGCTTCTATCCTTTCTGCTTTCTATATATTTTACAAACTGAGAAAAGTCCATATACCCGGGCATTATGCCCCGACAATGTGTACAATCTTGAGCAGCTTAAGTGCCGCTGGCATCGGATTTGCCAAATATCCGTCACAAAAAAAGGAAAGGAGGAAAAGCCCAGGACAGAGGAGCCCGAGCAGGAGCCATTTCCACAGCCATTTCCACAGCCATTTCCATGCACTCACGCAGACTGTAATCGCTTTACGTGCGCTTTGTTGACAATTGTCAAGTGGCATTGGGGAAAATGCGACGAGGAAAACTGGTGGGAAAGACGGGGGGCGAGATGGAGAATGAAGACTGAAGGATGTAGAATGTAGAATGTTAGAGGAACATCATTGACGCCACATGTTGCCGGCGACAGATGCGCTGGATTGCAAATTGTCTCAGGTAAGGTGTGAGAGGGTTTTACACGCAACGAAAATTATTTAAAAAATATTTTTATATTTATATTTAAGAAAAATTGCCCTAAAACTAAGAAAAAGTTGTAATGAAACCAATAAATTTAATTTAATTTTTTTTTATCAAATTTAGGATTAGATTTTTTAAGTTAATTTCCTTTTTGAATTTAATTGCAAAATGAACTTCTTTTGCTGGTAAATTTTTCATTATAACCTTAGCGAAATTATCCTAAACTTTTTGGGGTAAAAAATCTCATACTTGTGTACTTATAATTCCCAACTGGCTCTAGCATAAATAAAAAGAAAATCCCTTAGAAAATTATAAAGTTTACTTTTTTCATATTTACTGTCTATCCATAAATGTTTTTATTATTATAAATAAACCCTATATTAAATTTATTTATTAAAAAAATGTAATTATTTTTCCTTTTTCTATATAACTTATTTTTTAACCGTGCATGGGAACTTTTATTTGGCTTTTCAATTTATTGAGACATTTCGGATTGCCAGTCAGTTAGTCAGTAAATTTGTAGCTTGAGATTTTCCCGAGGAAAATGGGAGAAAAGCAAACACAACAAATAGACAAATAGACAAACAATATAATACTTACACCCAAGTATTTTGTGACAATTTCCATGCGTGTCAATTACGCAAATTGTGGAATTGTGCAAAAGCAATTTGCAGCTAAATCACAACATAAGCTGCCTGTTTCTTCCTTTCAAAATATTAGTCTTGCCTTCCGATTCAACCACGCCCTAAAAAAAGAAAATACAAATATATATATATGGAAATATATGATAAAAAAAAGCCAGGCAACTGGCCAATGGCAGGCGAGCGCTTAGGAAAACTTTCGTGTTTTAGTTGGCGCTTCTGTCGCCGTTCGCCATTCGTTTCCTTTCGTTAGTTTTTCACTCCACCCCCAAGGAAAAAAGGAAAGCAAAGAGGTGCCCTATGAGAGGAGAGTGGAGGAGGAGCAGTGAAATACTGTGAAAGTTTATTAAAAATAAAAAACAAGTATGAATTATTAATGAGATATTAAAAAAGAAAATGATAAATAATATCAGAGATATTAAAGGTACTATGACGGTTTTTGGAGTATTTTTTGAACCTTTCTTTTTATTATTTTCTTTTATAGGTTTCCTTATATATTTTATCATATTTTCCTTAGGTATTTTTTTTTTAATTTAAGTTTTTTAACTTGGAAATAATATTATCTAAAACAATATTCAAAAATTACAAAAAAATATTATTTTGTAAATTGTAATATAAAATATTAATTTATTCAATTTAAAAAAAAAATAAAATCTATTAGTATGAAAGATTTTCAAAATAGAAACAATTTAAATAAATAATAAATTATATAAAATATATAAATAAAATAAAATAAAATATATAAAAAAAATATAAAAACCTGTTTTTTTATGCTAATACATACATATATATTTTTTTCATTTCAAAAACTTGATTTTTTATAATTCAAATTTGAATTTAAATTTTAAAAAGAAAGCCTTTCGCCCGCTCTAACCCGCCATCTGCATGTCAATTTTTATGGTTTTTCTTATTAGCAATGTTCCCTTTTTGGAACAGTGTTACCCAGCATACGTTTCTTGGCAAAAAATTAGCGCCAACGATGATTTTTCAGGCACTTATTTAGCTATTTTCGAGTTATAAAAATCATAAATAATGTTTTTTTTGAACGGCTTTCACTGCGTTCTCTGTACTCTCTTTTCGGCTCTCTCTATGAACGCAAAGTGTGGCAGCACTCTGTTATCGGGTGTGGTTCGAGTGTCAGATGTGGATTTTTTAGGAGATTTCAATTTTCCAGATTTTTTAGGGCCAAATTTTCAATAAATACGGGTGCAAAGCGCAATTCAACGAAGCAACTTTACGGTAACGCGGAAAAATCAAGTTGATTCGATTCTCTAACTTGTGTAAATTCGGAGGCTACTGTTGGCGCCACGCCCCCACCAAACCAAATATAAAAAACAAAAATCAACAAACGGCAAAAAAAGACATCAAATTTTTTTTTTGTGAACACCATTGTGCCTGTGCCTGTGTGCGTTATTGTTCCTGCCGAGACCAACAAATTTGTTGCTGTTATTTAATTGTGTTGTCAACGCCCCCCGCAAAGGCAGAACGAAGACCAACAAGTGCGCTCACACTCACACAATTGCAACACCCGACAATCAAACACACACACACACACACACACACAAAAGGGGGCGAGAGCCAGCAATTGAAAGTGAATTGCAGTGAAAATAGATCTAAAGTGGAACAGTTTCGGCGCTAGCAAATTGTTGCACACAAAAATAACGAAACAGCTGTTCGCCGCCGCACCTGCTGTTGCTGTTACTGTTGTTATTGTTGCCCGCCTGCGTGGGAGAGCCAACGTTCTGTGGGAGAGGGAGACGGAAGAGATCATAATCTGCATTTGCATCTGCCAATTGGGGAGTAGTGAGTGCGAGCGAGAGAGCTAGAATCATGACCGATCTCAACGAACTGATGGGTTCGCCGTTTGTGCGTGTGAAGGTAAGCAGTGCACCACGCACTGGCAAAGCAGTGGGCGATGCAGTTGCAGCATCCAAGCTGCCAAAGCAGTTCAGAGCCGCCGCCCCCCCACAAAGCTGGCAAAATGTACAGCTGCGGTTAAGATAATAGCAACAAAAAAGTCACTAACTAGGAGGATGCAAATTTAAATTGAAAAATTTATATTTGATTTAAATTTAAAATTTAAAAAATTATATTGAATATAAAAATATTTGTTTTAAATTTAAAATTTAAATTTAATATTGAATATAATAATATTTGAAATAATTTTAAACCAGGAAATTAAATAGAAAACTAAAGTGTTTTGCTATATTCCTATAATTTTGTAATGAAATAATAACTCAAAATATTTTCTGGGCCTATTTTTTTTAAATATTATTTATGTAAAAAAATGTATGAAATTAAATAACTAATTTATTAAAATTCCATGCTCTTAATATAAAATCATAATTTTAGAATATCAATTCAACATTTAATTTTATTAACATTTTATAAAATTAAAAAATTCAAACAATTTCTAAGATAGATTAAATTTAGAGTGACTGTCAAACTCCTAACCGGACATTGAGAGAATGTTTTTCTCTTCAAAAATTTCATAAAATGGTAGAGATTCTCAAATGCTATTATTGCAAACCGATTTGCACTCTCACTTGTTGGGCCTCCATGGGTTAATGGCCGTTGTTGCTATTGCTTTCCGACTGATTAGCGCCCCAAGTTAGCCGTCAAGTTAGCCAAGTTAACCGCACATGACAGCCGATATGGCGGCGGCTGGGCGTTGGGCAAACTTCGTGGGGCTTCACTTGGCACTAAGCCGCTTATTATTAGCCAAGCTAACCAGAGATGCATTTTTGCCACATTTTCCCATTTTTCTTCATATTTTCCAGCTGGTGGCCTTTGTACATTTTTTCTTCATCTCGAATGCCATGCTCGGTAGCTGGGCCCATGGATCGTTTGAGTTTTACAATTTCCTCTTCCTGATTGCCATGTTCTGGACGATGCACAGCAAGGACTCCATTGAAGCAGTGCAGACGGTGAGTTGGTAAATTCTAAATCGATAACAGTTTTCGATAATTAATCGAAATGGTTATTTTGAATTAATTTGCTTGCATTTTTATGGCCTTAAGCCTTTAATAATATATTTTTTAAGATATTTTGCATGACTTTTAGACTTTTAGTTAATATATAAATTTAAAAAAAATTAATTTATTATTATTATAAAAATATTAAAATAAAATGAGGATGTGTGAATGTCATAATTAAACTTTGTTATGGCGATTTAGCCTTTCCCGTGACTCACCATATTGCATTGTTGATAGCCCCGCCGAGCTGATAACAGGGCCCAAGAGCACCATATCTCTCATTAGAGAGAGAGAGAGGGAGAGAGAATATCTCATATTTAATTTATTTAAAATATTCGACACTTGCCGGGCCAATTTGGGCTTTAGTTTTCTTAATCAAATTCAAAAGACGAGTCACACCACAAAAACCGGTTGCGAACAGCAGCTCGGTGTTTGTTCCTCAACAATTAACACATACAGGCGAAAATATAAATAACAAAATGCTCTCACTAACAAAAAAAAATATAGTTTTTGGGCTTGAAACAATGACGAGAGTGTGTGCTTTGCTTGATTGATTGACTGATTGAGGCATTGCATTAAAGTCATTCGAATTAATCATTCGAATTAATTGCAATCTGCTGTGAATACAAACTAAAGCAAAGCCTTTGTATGTTGATTACATAAGACTTTTTTTTATAAACAAATGTTTTTTTTATAATAAAGAAGGTTCTCCAAATTTAAATTAAAATTAAAACACTCTAGGCAGTACCTATTTTAATTTAAGAAAAATAATATTACATTTTCTTAAACAAAAAAACATATAGGGGCTGAGATAAAGCCTATATCTTAAGGGAGCCCAATATTTTATAGGGGCTTACAGAAGTCTTTTTTGTTTGCCTTCTCTTCTTTGTCTTGGATAAGATAAGGTGTTATCCACTGACTAAGTAGTACACTCTTTCTTAAAACCATTTATTAAAGGAAGCTTAGTTGAAACGAGAAAGAAAAAACTCTAGGTACTTTACCCTTTAAATGTTATAATGGCAAAAGTTGCGCTAACGATGAGGAGTTATGGCCAATCAATTTGCTTGCTTATGGGTTAACTTGGCCATAACAGGCACATACCAGGTTCATTTTTATAGCAAGAAAAAAAAAAAATATATATAGGTATATATATATAAAATAGGTATAAAATAAACGGAACCGAATCGCAATCAAAAAAGTCCAACTCCAAACGCGTGGTGGTATGCTAATGAAAGCTGATTTTTTTTTGGCAATTGCACAGAGAGAAAAGTCTATTAAATTGTTCAGTAAATTCGTTAATAAAATAAGCAAAAAAATGTCTAAGATATTTTAAGATTTTAATCCTGAATTTTCTGAATAAAAAACAACAAAACAAATGTATTTAGACATAGTCAAGGTCTGTTATAAATTACCACTTGGGAATTCTAAGAGCTAAAATCAGTCAGAGGTCCCATTTTGAGCAGTGTAAATCGGGCTTTACGATTCCATTCCCAATTCGGACAGTCACACGAAGGCCTCGCCACCTGGTTGGACTCCAAACTTGGTCCTTGGTTTGTTTGCTTCCTCGAAAGCCATTAGCAACGCCTTTTAATCAAGCTCCTCCACGGTTCCAAATAATCCTGGCCAGTCATGGCGTTGGCGTTCATTACCCTCTAGAGAGAGACTAAAAAAAATCAATGAACATTATTTATTTAATTAAGAAAAATATGTAAATTGTTGTAGTTTGTTTCTTACAAACTTGGAGTTTTCCTCTCGAACAGTTGAGGGCTTGTTGTTATTTTCAAGCCAAGTTGAAGTGGGTTAAGGATTTTGCAGAAAGCCAAGGGGGACATTGGAATCTTGACATGTGTTTTTTGTGGGTTTAAGTTTTTACTCGGAAAAGGAATTCTTATTAAATGGAAATTGTTTAGTATTTTAAAAGTTGTTAAACGGAAAAAAATAGTTAAATTCCCAACTGTTGTCACAGCTTTGTGGATACTAATTACAGTATTGGTTTAAGCTTAGCAACAGCTGCATGAACAAGTTTTTAATCATTTATTTTCACCTAAATTTGTAATATTAAAAATATTATAAATATATTAATAATAATATTAAAACATATATTATATATAAAACATATATAAAATATTTAAAATATTCATAAACAATTAAGAAAACTGGAGAACAAATTTCGATGACCAAAGAATTGTTTATTGAATAATAGAATTGAATAATTTATGGAATATTAATGATAAAAAATTCACCTAAAAATATATTAAAATAAATTATCAAAGAGTACGGACGCTATAGTAAAATATTTGTTTGTTAGATCTCAATAATTTTATTACAAATTCTATTCTCTTTTTATATTATTTTTGGGTTAATAAGTTTTTCACTAGCTTTTTGGCAACATGGAAAAATGCTTAAGAAAATGTTGCTATACAAAAGTGGCTTTAAAAATGTAGCTATACAAATGTTTCTGGAAACATGTGTTGCTAAACAAATGTTACTTTACCAATATTGCTTTGACCATGTTTCTGTAAACAATTTATGCTACACTCATTGTTGCTGGCAACACAATAATGTTGCTGGCAACACAACAATGTTGCAATCAGTTCAACAGGCAGTCTCCTACTTTAAAGCCTCATAACTCCTATGTTTAACATTTAATTAAGCCCGAATTTGGGTTAATTATACTTTAAATAAATATATTAGTATATTATATTTGTTTATTGATCTTGATAACAAGCCCAAGCTAAGTTTTTTATGAAAACCATTTTCTGACGCCCAAAAGTATGCCTTGAAAAATAGCAGCTAAGATTTCCCAAGAAGATAAATACTTAAAAAAAATAAGTGTGTTTTATTAATATTTCTCATTGATTTATTAGCTTGCCTATTCCAAAACCACCTGACATTCCCCTTGATTTCACACTCTCATCTCGTATCATCTCTCCTCGTATCTTTCCAGGCGCTTGTCATCAACGCTTCTAGCATTTTCTTTGATCTCGTCAACATCATTGTTTATTTCCATGGCATGAGTAAGTAGTCTCTCTCATATCTCCCCCTCCCCCGTGAATTCCGCCACAAAATGAGATATATAAACCAAAAATCCAACATAATTAATGCTTATTATCTTTGATCCTCTTTGTAGATGGCTGGGCCATTGCATTTGCCATCATCAACCTGATCCTGAGGCCAGTGAGCGTGGCCCTGCTCTACCGTGAGTTCAACACACGCGGCGGTACCCTGCAAACGGGCTCGGTATTCCCCACTAGCCAGCAACGCAGCTACCAGGACATTGATAGGCCCACACAGCCAACACCCACCAACTCGCAGCCGGGTCCGAATGTGGCAAGCATTTTTTAAAAGGGAAAACCTTCCAAGTACCTAGAGACAACGATGCGAAGAATAGAGAGACTCTCCTAGTCAAGTGTCAGCGAAAAATTTACAGTGAATCTAAATTGAAAATTACAAAATCTAAGCACACCTTGTTTTTTGGGGGAGACATTGTTTAATTTTTTAGATTTAAGCCTTGTAGTTAAATATTTTTTTTTTGTGTGGAAAAAAAAGACAAAGTTTAATACGAAAAATGACAAAGAAATTGGTGTCCGTGTCCGTGCCCCCTTTGTATTTTTTTTTGTCAACGATTAAAGACGGCTAACCCAAAATATATATATTTATATTTATATTTATATTCGTATTTGTATAACAAAGATTGCAATTCTACTTTATATATATATATATATACTTATCTAAATAACGTTAATGCTAAACTGTAAAACCCAACAGAATATTTGACAAAAATAAAACAGCGGGCGTTTCATCGTTTGTAAAAAAATAAATACACATTGATTTCCCCCATTTTTTCTGTTTAACATCAATCCTCTCCGCCTGTACAGTGAACCCTCTTCCCTTGATGATGAAATATCCTTTCTAGAAACCCTCCTTGGCTGCCCGGAACTTGTACGTATTGCTGCGTCCATCCAAACAGGGCACTTGCACCAGATTGAAGTAAATGGAGCCCATTAGCTGCGAGGCCGAGGTGTTGGTCATCTTCAGGCAGGAGAAGAGCATGTCATCGCAAATGCAATGCGATCTAAAAGCAAATAAAGGATATAGTATTCTATAGAAATCCAAAAGGAGCATCCTTTAGCACCCACTTGGTGTACAGGGAATCATTCGCCAGTTCGTATTTGTGCTGATAGGCCCGAATCTTTACAGGACACAAATCATGCTGGCGACAGCATCGATCCATGGCCATTTCGCTGCCCAGATCGCCGTAAGTCTCGGCAATGTCTCCAGTGCCGCACCACTTGGTGCCTGTCATAAAGATGGAGTAAAGAAGGAGTAACTATAGGAGCATCATCTTTGGTAATCCCCCCTTGCCTCACCTGGTATTATCCCGCTGAGCAGGGAGATGGGACTGCGTGGAAGGATATTGGCACCAAATTTCAGGCTCACTGCCGTTGAGGATGTATCGCTGCCACTGCTGCTGCTCCGCTCGCCGCCGCTGGTCTCCAGCTTGGAGGCCTTGTACTTGGAGGCATAGCTCAGCTTGTCCACATGCTCGCACTGGTCCATCAGTTTGAGCATCTCATCGAACTTGATCTCCAAGGGGCGGTTATAGTGGGAGAGGCCGTCCAGAAGCATCTTGCCCTCCTTCTCGTTGCTGGGAGAGGGAGAGAGAGTGAGAAAGAGAGAAAATTATAAAAATGAGTAAGCGCTCTCCTCTGCGCTTCTCATACAGGTTACCTAAGCGGAAGCCTAATTAATTTTTAACTATATTTTTTGTAGTGTTTGTTGTTGTTTTTCTAGAAAAGAGCAAGTGCTCTCCTCTGCGCTTCTCATACAGGGTACCTAAGCGGAAGCATAATGAATTTTTAAATATATTTTTTTAGTGTGTTTGTTGTTGTTTTTTAGAAAAAGAGCAAGTGCTCTCCTCTGCGCTTCTCATACAGGGTACCTAAGCGGAAGCATAATTAATTTTTAATTCATATTTTCTTATATTTTTTTGTTGTTGTTTTTATTGATTCTTTTTTTTATAAAATTCATTCTCAAAATTCTCAAAACTAATATATAACTTAAATACCTATCATATTTATGACTTCAACTTATTTTTATAAAATTGTGCAAATATTTGCGAAAGCAAATTAAGTATTCGGTATTCACAACAAATGCATTTGCATGACGACTTCCGGCAAGCCTTGGCTATACGCATGATTATACATATATAAAACATATATCTATTTGGTGGACATGTGTACTCACTAGATTTCGATGAGCTCGCAGCCTAGGAGCAGCTTCTGGGGCCCCAGCTCCGTAACGGCTATGGTCTGATCGTGATAGTATATCATAATGAGTGAATCGTTGCTCAACCGCTTCCCGCTGCCACAAAAATAAATCAAAAAAAAAAAAAAAACAAGAATAAATACAATAAAATAGAGGAGAGAGTGAGAGCCAGAGCCTAGGTATGGACACATGGTCAGCCGTGTTCCATGCGTTTAGCTACGTGATGTCCATGACAATGGTTTTGAGTGAAAATCCTCCAAGTCAACGATGAGGCGTTGAATGCTAATCAGGGGGAGCAGAGACGCGACTCACCTGTACTTCTTCATCTGGCGCACGCTGCGCTGCTCGATGATCTGCTGGGTAAAGGACTGGAACGAGGGGAATCCCTGGAGGCCCTGTGGCAGGCTAAAGGACAGCGTTGGCTTGGCCACAGCCTCCGATGTGAGATAGCCGAGTAATCCGCAAAAGAGCAACGAGGCCAGCAGCTGAAGGCGCCGTCGCAGCCACAGATTGTAGGGCATGGCTAAAGGTTTATGTTTGCGATCCCGTTTACGATCTCCGATCCCGATTCTGAAAGCCTTTTTACGTTGGAGCTGCCACTAAAGCTGAGCCAGAGCCCAAGGCATTGCCGGCTGGACTGAGTTGAGTCGCTACCCAAACAGGTTAGACCCTTGGTAAGTCGCTTTTTTTTCCTATATTCTTTTCTTTTATTGTTTAATTAATCAGCTGTAGAAGTTCGCGCTGGTTAACTAGCGGTTCTCTATGGACAGAAAAGAAAAATATAGGATATATAGGTATAGGGTTTTAGTGGCCACTCGAGTAGCACCTGCTGCTTCTGCTGGTTGAGGTCTGGGCTGCGTGTCAAATGTTGTAGGCGTCTCCAAGCCTTAGTAAATAATTGAATCACTTGTATACCATAGAGAGAAAATACAGTGCCGCCTTGATTTAATATATATACATTTATATGTGCAGAACAAGAAAAAAATAGCACTAGGGGTATGAAAAAGTATTTTTTAAATTTTCTTTTAGAAGGTATGCAAAACTTTGCTATACAATTCTTGAGCTTAGAAATTCATTAATTTAAATTTAAAATTTGTGGCATATATAAAAAAATATAAAATATTTAGAAATATAAAATTTATAAAAATATAAAATATTTAGAAATATAAAATATTTAGAAATATAAAATTTATAAAAATATAAAAAAAAAATAAAGTTGTCAAAAAAAATTCTACAAAATTTGACTTCTTAAAATAAGCAAATTTAAAGAGACTTCTTAACTCAAAAATTGTCTTTCATTTTTTTAAACGCCTTTTTAAGGGTTCTAAAATTCCTATTACTTACTAAACAGTCCTAAAATATATATTAATATTTTAATAGATAAAATATATAACAATCTGCATAGAAATTATAATTAAAATGCTTGAATTATATATATATATATATATATAATTCTAAAATATATTTTTTTTAATAAATAATCTCTCCCACAGTGCCCTGAAAAGTGAGTTCAAGTGAAATTTATCACCCTAAATATTCCAAAACATATTTTTAAGAACCCTTATTTCGATTAATTTCAAGTTTAAAGCGATTTCTATGGGCCACCTGCTCTCCTGTACATATTTAATTTAAGATTATAATTATTAAATATGAATTTTTTATTAATTTATTTTATTAAATTTTTTTTTTTTTTATTTTATATATTTATATATTATATATATTTATATATTATGTATATTTGTATATTATATATATTTATTTTATTTATTTTTTATTTTTTATTAATTATTTAAAATTATTTTTTTTAATTTTTTTTTGTTCTAATTTATTTTGATTAATTTTTTTTTCTAATTTATTGTGTTTTATTTATTTTTTAATTTATAATAATATATAATAAATAATATTTTTATTATTTATTATTTTTTTTTATTATTATTTCAGTGGTAAACTAAAGGAAGACCCGTAGCCCTTCCGCCGGCTGGTCAATTTCCCAGCACTTGCTAGTTGCCGGCTTCAACCCGGCTAGAGCAAAGCACCCCACGGGTGGCAGGTGCCAAAAACCGCGATTCAGCTCACAGCTGACCTCGTTTCCAGACTTTCAGACAGAGAAGCACAATTGCCACGCACTGGCATATTCCGCAATCCTCCTACCAAACCGTACATATGTCATCCATTGCATCAGGCCAAGCCCCAAGAATCGCTTGGGCCACGCCTGCCATTAGTTTTTGTGTTTTTTGTTTTTGTTTTTGTGTCTTGTGTTTTTCTGCGAGGCAACGGGGCGGATGGGATACATGCAACACATTACGTATACGCAGCGGAGACCATTTCGAGGCAATATGGCTAGTGAGTTAGCCAGTCACTCAGCTGGGCGTATTGGGTAATATGATGCCAATTAGACGTTCATCGGCCAGGCGGGCTCAGGCATACAGATGACAGGTAATCAAGGAGGAATCGGGGTAAGTCTGAACAGCATATATATTTGGCTTAAGTTTTTTGTATGAATTAAGAAAAAGAACATTTCGTAGGATTAATCAGGAATGGGTAGATAAGGGCCTGGGAATTGTATTTAGAATATATAAATATATTCATAGATAGTAAATATTGTAGGGAAAATCTCTTGCGAAGGAGAGTTAATGATCATTATAAATGGATTTTCAATCTGGCCAAGATATGCCACCTCTGACATCATGGTCAAATGTCCCTTGACCTTAGCATTTGCTTAGGAAGACATTGAACTAGCTGAAGCCCCGAGGAAACAGCTCCATAAGCCCCCCTAAAGCCCCCTATAAAACCCCCCTAAAAACCCCCCTTAAAACCGCCTTAAAACCCCCTTAAAACCCCCCTTTTCACTAGTAACTCCCACGACAAGCCTTGAGTTTGGCGAATGGCTAAAACACACGCAATGCGAAGCCGCTAATAAAGCTGCCAAAGAAATAGCCCCTAAAAAAACTGTCCCCTGCATATAACACCTGCCTTTGTCCCTCTTTTACACCTCAAAAATATTATTAAATTTATTATTATTATTATTAAGGTGTTTTTTTTTTTTTTTTTTTTTTTCTTTCCTCTGGCATAAACATAATTTTTTGTTTTGTTTTGAAAGCACGAACGAACGGTTTACGCAAGCATTTTCGGTCAAGAGAGTTGGCAACCAAGGGGCTATAGGGGGGAAAGGGAGGGGAGATGGCCCTGTAGGTGAGCCAAGTGAAAGTGATTCCACGATTCCACAGCTCCATTGTGGCATTTCAATGGCCAGCATGCATACAACCAATAATAAGTGATGCGAGGAAGATGACGAAGAAGCCGACCGAAAAAAGGTGGCGTGAGTGTGTGGCAATGGCAATGGACCTGGCCTAAAGCCGCAAAACAACGCCCACCCTCAGTACTCCTCAACTCAAAATACAGAGAAAATTGTAAAAGGTAAGATAATTCGATTTTAAATAATAATACAAAAAATTAATAATAGTTTTAATAATATTAATTCTTAGTTAATCATATGTATTTAGAGAAAAATTAGTTTATAATACATCAGAAAAATATTATATTCCATATCATATCGAAATTATGGTAAACTTTGATATATCGAATGTTTAAATATCGAAAAAATATAACATTCAATTTTAAAATATATATAAATTCATAGGTATATATTATTTAACTAAGTTCGATATTTTTCGATTATTTTGAATTCGATATATCAAACAGAAATTTATGGCACATATATTCCAAATCAAAAATATCGATTGATATATGGACTTTAAGACTTAAAGGAAAAATCGATATATAAATGTGTATTCGTAATCAAAATTTTAGACTTTGATATAAAATGTAAACTTAATGCTTTAATGTTTATTAATTTACATGTACTTTTCACATTTTAAGCAAACTAAATGCCAAACTAAATGCCACATGTATATCTAAGAAAAAACACAGCAATATGTATGTCAAGTGGAGCAGTTGACGACCGTTGATCACCGGTGGTCGGTTGGTTCAATGCTAAACGAAAATGCAAATAGCCAAGACAGAAAATAAATACAACAAAAAATAAAGTCGTAACGAAATCTGCGTCAAGTCAGAGTCCAAAAATCAAGAAAAATCCATTGCAAAACTTTAAAATATTTGACTGGATTTAGTTACGGAATTAAAAGTGAAGGTAAAGATTTCTTGGAATATTTTTACGACAAAGTTTATATAGACTTTGTAACCCAAAGCTCAAGGTAAAGATGATTTATGGATCTATAATTTTAATTTATTTTTAAGGTGTATTTAAAACTTAAGGGTTAAGCTTAGGCTTTGTTTTTCAAAGAGTGCGCAAGCAAAGAACCATAAATTCTGGCCTGAACTTTGCTTTAACGAATGTATGTTAATTTTAAGAATTATACTTAAAAGCGGGAAGTGAGTCATAAAAATAAAAATATTAAGAAACACTTCTCTTTTTAGCGACTTCCTAAAGCGAAACAGGTTAAGATAGGTTCATCACCTACTACAGCTAGTAAAACCACAAAGTTAATCGATTTAAAATCGATTTATAATCAACTTTTCTTTTTTCTAATTTGGGTCAAAATAATTGAGAATTCTTCTTCTTAAGCCCTTTTAAAATCTTCCCAAAAAAAACCAAATAAAAAGTGTCAACTCATTGCTAATTTGTCGCCGGAAATGGTTTCTCCAAATCAAATCAAAATCCAAACGATTGACAATCAACGATTAACGATTAATGATAAATGATAAATGGAATGAAGACCTGGTTAGGGACTTACTCTCCAAGTTCCTAACTGTTTTCATCGCTGATAGCAACTAATTGGAGTCGCAAGATGTGTGCTGGCAACGATCACAATGAAAGCAAGGCAGAGTTTTTATTCCATTTGACTTGATTTTACGAGTCTCTCCTAAGCTCACAGAGATCATCTTTAATGTGCTCTGCTCTTCCGTCTAACAAAAAGGGGGAAAACTAAAAGCCCCAAACGAAACTTGAAGCTTGAACTTGATGGCTTGCTAAAATTAAAACAAAAAACTAGACAAAAAAAGCAACGCTTTAAATGCCGGCGAGAGTTGGCCGAGTTCAAAAGTGCAAAAGAGAAACAAAAGCGCGGAAAAACAAAGCCAACAGCTGCCGCCCTGGGGGCCTTGGCATAGGTCAGTGAAGCGTATTATTATCATTCGAGCAGTATATATATTCCCATTCCCTTTCCCCCTTTTCCTGACTTGGTTTTAACCTGGCTAATACTGGGTTTTCTTATATTTTCCCCAAATACCCTAACAAAATGGGGTTTATTGGTGTAGGTGTTTTTATTATATGTTTTAATCATTATTTTATTTATATTATTATTTTGTTATTATAACTATTTTTTTATTATTTTATGATTTTTTTTAAATTAAGATTTATTTTTAAGGATTTTAATCATTTTTAGGGGTGTTAATAGTTCTTTAGGATTTTACGAATTTTTAGAGATTTTAATAGTTTTTAAAGAATTTTAATAATTTTTAAAATTTTAATAGTTTGTAAGGATTTTAATAGTTTATAAGGATTTTAATAGTTTATAAAGATTTTAATAGTTTATAAGGATTTTAATAATGTATAAGGATTTTAATAGTTTATAAGGATTTTAATAGTTTATAAGGATTTTAATAGTTTATAAGGATTTTAATAGTTTAAAAGGAATTTAATAGTTTGTAAGGATTTTAATAGTTTGTAAAGATTTTAATAGTTTAAAAGGATTTTAATAGTTTATAAGGATTTTAATAGTTTATAAGGATTTTAATAGTTTATAAGGATTTTAATGGTTTGTTAGGATTTTAATAGTTTGTAAGGATTTTAATAGTTTATAAGGATTTTAATAGTTTATAAGGATTTAAATAATTTATAAGGATTCTAATAATCATTTTTAGGGATTTTAAGGTGGAGGAGGTGGAGGAGGTGGAGGAGGAGGTGGTGGTTGAGGAGGAGGTGGAGGGGGACGTGAAGGAGGAGGTAGAGGAGGACGTGAAGAAGGAGGAGGTGCAGGCGGAGGAGAGTGCCGGAGGAGAATTATGAGCCACTACACCCACATGGACCTAAAACGAAAGCTTGAGCGTTTATAAGAATTTTAATAGTTTGTAAGGATTTTAATAGTTTATAAGGATTTTTATGGTTTGTTAGGATTTTAATAGTTTGTAAGGATTTTAATAATGTATAAGGATTTTAATAGTTTATAAGGATTTTAATAGTTTATAAGGATTTAAATAATTTATAAGGATTCTAATAATCATTTTTAGGGATTTTAAGGGGGAGGAGGTGGAATAGAAGTCAGGCATTTTGCTGGAGAAGGAGGAGGAGGAGGAGATAGAGATGGAGATGGAGGAGATGGAGGAGGAGGTGGAGGATTTTAATAGTTTGTAAGGATTTAAATAATTTATAAGGATTCTAATAATCATTTTTAGGGATTTTAAGGTGGAGGAGGTGGAGGAGGTGGAGGAGGAGGTGGTGGTTGAGGAGGAGGTGGAGGGGGACGTGAAGGAGGAGGTGGAGGAGGACGTGAAGAAGGAGGAGGTGCAGGCGGAGGAGAGTGCCGGAGGAGAAGTAGGAGCCACTACAACCACATGGACCTAAAACGGAAGCTTGAGGTTTGTAAGGATTTTAATAGTTTGTAAGGATTTTAATAGTTTATAAAGATTCTAATAATTATTTAAGAATTCTAACGATTTGATTATTTTTTTTATTGGTTTTTACTATTATTTTCTTTTATTTTATAATAATTTGATTTTAATATTTATATATAGTTTATTCATAACTTGACTTTTAACCGTTCCAAACTTGTAAAATTAAAAAAAAAAAAATGACTCCTTCCCAGAATTTAAGAATCATTTTTTAAATAACAAAAAGTAACATAAACAAAGTTGATTTTGCTAGTTTGTCCAGAAAGGGTATTACCTGCCCTCTGCACTTATTTCTGGTTTTTTCTTCGACTCTATATTTTTCTCTCTGAGCCCCCCGATAAGAGGGAGTTGCAGTAAAAGTGGCCATGGCTGCAGATGAGCCAAAACACGAAGAAACAAACCGCGAAACCGCGAAACCACAGCACCAGCAGCGTCAAGTAAAGCTTTAAAATATATATATATAAAAAAAGAAGAGGCAACAGGTTTCCAGCAGCTGCTGCTGCTGCCACTGCCTGCCTTAACTTTCACATTGGGCACCTAATTGTGGGCTTAATCTCGGTTAATTTGCTCCAGTTTTGATCTTCTTTTTATTTATTTTGAATTTCTTTGTGGGCCACAAATAGAGAAAGAGGGATGTGGGCTAGGTATTGGGCTGACGAGATGCCAATTATGCAACTGGGACCAGGGTAGCTGTCTAGCTGGACAGCCCAGTCGCACTTCACAGCTCCACGCTAATCCATTATGGCCATTCCCATTCCCATTTCCCATTCGGAGTCATCATAGCGATTCTCGAGACCGAATCCCCCCGCCTCCTCCATTGTGTGTGCGTGAACACGGCCAAAAAAAAAACGTCATATTGTTAACGATTTTGTATTGTTTTGGGCCAGACTTACGTATAGAATATATCATGGTCACAGTCATAATAGTTGTGGGTTTTACTTGGGAGTTCAGTTAGTGCCTTAATGACCTTTAGTTGGGCTATAAAAAAGGTCTGAAGGGAAAAATTGTTTCTATCTATCGAAAAATCTATGAATATTTTTCTTTGATTAAAATTTAAATAAAAATAGTTTCTTTTTTATTTTAAATATTTTTAAAAATAAAATTACCTTTAAAATGTTGAAATTCTTAAGAAAATGTAAATAACCACATGCTTTTTTGTGGCCAGGAACATGCTGAGCTAAATTTGTATGCTTAAATTTTATTTTAAGGAATTCCCCCTTGTCTTGTAATACCCATTTTCCCTCAGTGTATGCTCCTCGTTCTAGTTCTAGCCATAAAAGGCAGCAATTATTCTGGGAATTTGCCACAGATCCGCGCAGATCGGTGGACAGAATGCACTAAATTTGCACTTTTGAACTTGCGCGCCAGATATTATGGCACATGAAAAGTAACCAAGGCGGCTACACTGTTAAAAAAAAGAATATTTAAGTCTAAACTTAAACTACAAATTTTTGAATATTTTTTTTGTCAATATTTTTTGAGTAAAATTGAAAGTTGAAAGCCAAAACTAGCAAGGGACATATCTTTTTTCTTCCAATCTTATCAGTTTTTTTTAAATTTAAATTAATTAAAATTTTTTTTTTTAATTAAGCTTATTCCTTAAATATTGTCCCTTTACAACAAAATATTAAAAATTTAAATTTTAAGCTAATTGTTTAACTTTAAAATATCTTAAAACGAAACACTCAACATAAATCATTATTAATTTTACATTTAAATTAATTTAAAATTAATTTTTAATTGAGCTAATTATTTAACTTGTTTTCCTTTTAAACACAACACTCAAAATAAATTATAATTTGTTGAAAAATGTTTTTAAAAAGTGTAACAATCAATCACTAGTGTTATTATTTTTTAAAAACCCAACAGCATAAGCAGCAGCCGTAAATATCAATTATAATTATTTAATTAAGCACGCAGAACCAATTGTTTTTAATTGATTTCTTTAAAAACAGTCCACTTTTTACACGGACAGCTCACTCACAAAACAAAAAATCAAAATCCACGCGCGTGCGCAACTGCAACCACAAAATCGAACTGAAAACTAACAAAAAAATATATATATGTTTATAAATACATATATATGAATAAACCAGCGAGATCGCTGTGCAAACCGCTCGCTGCCGCGCAAAGTCAGCAACTGATCGATCAAAACCCAAGCCCAAGCCGAACTCAAAACTCGCCAAGAGAAGAGAGACATTGCCACTGAGACTTGGGTACAACTGCACCAACAACAACAAAACCAGCAACTAAAACTACAAATACAAAAAAACAACAACAAAAGCCAGCGTTGGCGGCAACAACGTCGACAAGACAGCGACGAAAATGTGTCAAAAGGAAAAGCTGGCCCAGAGTAGAGCACACAGGTAACACTCCAGTGATACCTCTGAAAAATACATCAAAAAATATATATACTATAGATGGTATATAGCACATTTATAGGGCAAGATCTACCAGATTTCTTAAAGTCAAAAAGAATTTAGTAAAATTTAAAGTTGACAAAACTTAAATAAGAATATTTTATTTTTGTAATCTCTAAAACTGGTATTTCTAGGTTTTGTTTTCAAAGTTCTATAAACTACTTTAAATACATTAAATTAAGCTATATTTTGTTACATTTTATATATAATACCGTTATAAAAGGTTCTATTATTATCAACATAAAACCATTATTAATAACTAAAAGAATTTAAAAACAAAAAGTAAGCGTGAAGTATATATTATATTAAATATATATATTTTTATTATTATATTATTTTAAATATATATATTTATAATGTTTCTTTTAAATGTTAATACGAATATTCATTATATTTTCTTTAAATGTATTTTGCTTTCAACTACTTAAAACTTTTGCATGGTATTTGATTAAATTTATAAAAAAAAAATTAATAATATTTATTCTTTCCCACAATTTTTTTACGACAGTTTCCACATGTGCAGTACCTAGAACCGTTTTAAAGGTACTTTTCCCATAAGCTTATTGTTTATCCTATTATTTTTTACTATACATATTACATAGTACAATTATAATTACGAGTTTAATCTGGGACTTGTAACCCTGACTGGAGTTTTTCCAATTCATTGTGGCAGCCTGACCTAGTCTAATCATGACTTGCCAGTTTAATAACTAATTTTAGTAGATAAACTATGAAATTAAAAAATTATTTTGAAGAGCAATGAAATCTAAATAGGGTGATTTAACGCTCTAATAAAATGTATTTTAAATTTTATAATAATTTTCTCACGCAATTTAATTTCAATAAAAAACAATAAAAGAAAATTATAAATATATTTGTATATTTATTATACCCTTGCAGGGTATTATAATTTCAGTCAGAAGTTTGCAACGCAGTGAAGGAGACCTTTCCGACCCTATAAAGTATATATATTCTTGATCAGAATCAACAGCCGAGTCGATCTGGCCATGTCCGTCTGTCCGTCTGTCCGTCTGTCCGTCTGTCCGTCTGTCCGTCCGTCTGTCCGTCTGTCCGTCTGTCCGTCTGTCCGTTTCTACGCAAACTAGTCCCTCAGTTTTAAAGCTATCTGAATGAAACTTTGCATATAGTCTTCTATATACTCTCACTGCTATATATGTCGGAACGGGCCGGATCGGACGACTATATCATATAGCTGCCATACAAATGTTCGATAAATTTTTAGAAAAAAAATTATAACTTTGTTGTTTTTCAACATTTTTGCACCATTTTTTAGATATAGTCATTTTATATTATTCCAGAATTTTGGTAAAAATTTTATGAAAATCGGATGACTATATCATATAGCTGCCATAGGAACGATCAGAAAATTAATAGGAAAAAAATTATAACTTGACTGTTTTTTAACATTTTTGCACCATTTTTGAGATATGGCCAATTTATATTATTTCAGAATTTCTATATTAATTTTATGAAAATCGGATGACTATATCTTATAGCTGCCATAGGAACAATCGGGCAATTAACAGAACAAAAATTATAACTTCGTTGTTATACCCTTGCAGGGTATTATAATTTCAGTCAGAAGTTTGCAACGCAGTGAAGGAGACGTTTCCGACCCTATAAAGTATATATATTCTTGATCAGCATCAACAGCCGAGTCGATCTAGCCATGTCCGTCTGTCCGTCTGTCCGTCTGTCCGTCTGTCCGTCTGTCCGTCTGTCCATCTGTCCGTCTGTCTGTTTCTACGCAAACTAGTCCCTCAGTTTTAAAGCTATCTGAATGAAACTTTGCATATAGTCTTCTATATGTTCTCACTGCTATATATGTCGGAACGGGCCGGATCGGGCGACTATATCATATAGCTGCCATACAAATGTTCGATATATTTTTAGAAAAAAATTATAACTTTGCTGTTTTTCAACATTTTTGCACCATTTTTTAGATATGGCCACTCTATATTATTTAAGAATTTTGGTAAAAATTTTATGAAAATCGGACGACTATATCTTATAGCTGCCATAGGAACGATCGGGAAATTAATCGAAAAAAAATATAACTTCGTTGTTTTTCAACGTATTTTCATCTACTTTAAGTTATAAGCTTTTTTTATTATTCTAGAATTTTGGTATAAATTATATAAAAATCGGACAACTATATCATATAGCTGCCATAGAAGCGATCGGCAAATGTATAAAATATGTAAAGCTGGGAATGTAAAACTGTAACTGTCAAACTGTAAACATAATAAGTATAGGTAAAATGTAATGAAACTCTGTTTTGTGAGTGTTTTCAGCATTTAAATCTATAATATAAACATCGAAACCAATCTGCAAGGGTATAAAAACTTCGGCGTGCCGAAGTTAGCTTCCTTTCTTGTTTTTATTATAAATTCAATTTTGTATCTGCTAAAAATGTAAACAAAGCGGATCGTGGTTTCAGGCGAGCCCCCGAAAATGGGTAGAATTTACTTCCCGTTAAAAGTGGATCATAATGGCCGCAATCCTTTGTTGTCATTTCCAATTTCCAATATCGAGTGTCGTCGCGCTCTCGCCGCTCTCAGCTTCCTGCGCTCTTCCATTATCCTGCCATTTCTTTTTTCCCACGCAAATTTTTCGGTCGGAAAAAAGTGCGCTCCTACACAAATGGGTTAAAAACGGGTAAAAATGGTCGGAAAAGTGCGGAAAAACGCGGAAAAAAACATCGGAGAATGAAATCCGAATGAAATGCCGGAAAAATCTAGGCCCCGGCTGCATAGATCCCTTAGTTTTTAGCTTTTTTCTTTTTTTTTTTTTGCTGTGTAATTGCAAGTGCGAGTGAAACAGGACGCTTAAATGTGCCAGCGATGTGAGCAAGCCCCGTTAGTTGCCGCCTTGCTTTCTGGCCTTCTTCCTTTGATCGGGAAAAGGGGAGCGGAGAAGAAAAGAGTTAGGAAGAATGTGGAAAACGGGCAGAAAACGGCCGAAAAGTGCCGATTCTTTTTTTTGCCTAAAATGAAAAAAGGACCTGTGATTTTTTTTGTTTTTTTTTTTATTTGTTTGTGTATACATGTAAATACATACATATATATTTGTGAAGGATAAAAAGGCAAGGAATAATGACGATTGGCCGCTACAAACAACAGGTGAGTAAAGATTATCCATTTTGTTTACCTTTCTTTTTGTTTTTCCTTATTTCTTATGCACCGTTATTTTAAACACGCACATGCAAAAATATCTTTTGTTTTGTTTTGTTTTCATCTCGCTCTCCATTTTTTAATAACCCTACGGGATTTTTCTTGTTCTTCTTTGTTTTGTGGTTCTGATACTTGCCCTTGAGAAAGGAAATGTAAACAAACGAAAAGAGACAGCTCTCCCACGGGATGTGGAATCAGGAATACGATCCACATTTAAAGATAGGAAATTTCAGGCTCTATTCTTTTTTTATTTTCTAGCTGCAAACTAAAACTAAACATTATTTTAACAGATTGTTTAACACGAACCCAAATAATTGTTTTATTTGTAAAATTTAAATTTTAAATTTTAAAACTGTATTTAATGGGTAAGTCAGCAGTTGCAATCACTTGATGCTGCAACTTTTGGCAGTTGTAACCATCGCTGCTGTCTGTCTGTCTGGCGGCCGAGCCTACAAAGTAAAGGCTGCAATTGTGGGATTCAAGAGCTGCTGATGCTGCTGGAGTGGCGCGCTGCCACTGCGGCTGTGTGACCCATTTTAGAGCGACTCGTCGGCATTGCCAAAAGCCGATCATCATCGCTAGGCGCTGAGTTTTCATCGACTGTGTGCGTCCGGCAAAGTGAAAACAAAGCCAAACAAAACAACTTTTACAATGTCGAGGCTGGGGAAAAGTGACAGTGGTGGTGGCGGGCGAGCAATTAAAAATGGTTTTACGCGCAAACAAAAAGGTAAACAATGCTCACAGTAAACGCGGCCTAAAGCCAACCACACAGCTCTCTAAACTTTCAATTTAACACTGATTACATACCAGGGCTCTCTCTTGCTTAGTTTTTGTATAAAATGTAGTATAAATACTTGGAAGTTTCAAGCTAATCGCTGATTATATAATATATAGACTCTTTATTTTATGGGTCCATATATTTAAAATAAATCCATATATTTTTACGAATGACATTTAAATGAAAGTAACAAAAGATGAGGCACGAGATATTTTTACAAAATAATTGAATATCTGTAAAAAAAATTGCGAGATGGTTTGGATACTTTTGTGACTTGTTTCGACTTCTAACCGATCTAAGTATAAATATATATAGTATATATTTTGGCGACGGTACAATTATACATATATTACAAAGATTTCACTCGGCTTGCTGCTACTTGGGCATCAGAGCAGGAACATTGGCAGGACTGGCTGCCAGGGGCACCACCTCCAGCGACGATCCATGCGGCTCATCGCTGACAAAGTGCAGGATTTCAAAGCCCACCTCCACCATGATCAGGATGATGATCATCCACTCGAGACGAATGTGATGGGCATCGTTCAGGTTGTGCGAAACAAGCTCGGCCAGCTCGACACAGTGATTGATCTTCTCGTTCATCACCTTGGTGCGTCGCGTGGTACTAAAGTAGGAGCAGACTTGCAAATAGAGCGTCTCCAGCTCCTCGCGGTCCCAGTAAAAGTCCGGTGTGTCCAGCAGATCCGACGACAGATTGATAACATGACGCAGGGCAAAGAGTTCACCGGTTTTGCGTAGCATTGTCGCCCGTGAAATTCGCAGACGGCGACCCCGCTTCAGATCCTCCGTCAAGTGCTCTATGGAGTCTATGTAGCGGGTCAGCGTGGCCTCCCAGATGCCCAGCTTAATGGATTGTGCCATGGCATTGGAGAAGGTGTACTTGTACAGGAAGCTATCCGTGTCGGCGGTCACAAAGAACTTGCCGTTCTGGAAGAAGGCACGTGAGGCGACATTAAAGTCGCTGCTCTCAGCCACCAGATCACCCTCCACATCCACTGCCGTCGACGGTATGTATGTGTAGGGCATCACCTCGCTCTCGCCGTGGACCAGGGCGCTCACATACGACTCGCGCTCAAAGGATCGCAGGAAGCTCAGCACATTGTTCGTCTCGATGTCGCTGCAGTTCCAGAACACCACGGATCCCTCGCGGAAAAAGAAAATCTCACGCGGCTGCTGGCCGGTGGGATATTTGGCCGCCACAAACAGGACATTCTGCTCGGCGTCCAGATTGTCCGTGGAAAAGAAGCGCTTCGTCTCATACAGATTCTGTTGACGGAGCGCTATCTGCAGATCCTCCAAGTTGTACTCCTCAGCGGTGGTGTAGCCACGGGCGTTGAGAAAGCCCAAGGCGGACAGCTCGTCGATGGCCAGGCGCTTCTTTCGGATGAGCCGGGTGCGAATGGGTGATAGAATGGACTCCAGGCGCTCCTCTGCCAAAGGCAACGGCTTTACCTGTGCACTCTGTGATGTTTGCTTTTTGGTTGCCGCAGCAGCAGGGGACGAGGAGGCTCCACTGGCCATCCCTCGCCTGTGGTGGTTCATCAGCCATTGTGTTGGCTGGCGGCGGCGGGTCGTTCGGAGGCTCTGCAGGAGCATCTGCTCGAATCCCAGGCGTGCAAAGTTCATGACGTTTCTCGCCCTTTTTCAGTTGATTTCAAGCTTCCAGCTACTGGGCCATGCTATATAATGGCTATATAATCAAAATAGTAAGCCGGCAAGGTGTCGATTGCCGTTTGTTGTGATTATCGATATCGATATCGCACAGAGATGAGAATACCAGCCATTTAAGCTGGAACTATCGTGAACCAAAACTTTTTAACTATCGTTATATTTATTTCATTTTTGGAGGATATTTATATTAAATACTGATAGATTATTATTTTAAACTTAAAAAAAACTGTGCAAAAATTGTGCAAGAAGAGAAAATACAACTACAAAATACATAAAAAATAAGGTAATATCGATGCTCCACCAGATTTCCCAATAACGATAGCCACACAAGCCGATTTTAAACGTTGCATATTCTTTATTTCTAAATCACATTTTAACAATGGCACTGGAAATTAAGCATTAATTATTTCCTGTATATAGGTAATATTTATTAGAGTAAAGCTTAAATTTAATATGGCTTTAAAGGTCTTCCTTCCTTTGATTCATACGCTTTTTTTGTGCCCGCATTGCACGCTCTTCCTCTTCCTGCATCTCATCTAACTCATCCATCATGCCGAATAATAGGTACTCGTAAAGCTTTTCCGGTTCTGCCCGTAGCTTCGGATCCTTAGTGGCGCGAGATGCCAGGCTAAAGCATTTTTTAATCCAAGATAGACTCAGTGGGGAGACGGACTGGGCCACGTTGCTGTGCATGTCGAATGGATCTTGCACGTACATGCATGTAATCAGCCGGAAAGGCGACGGTGGTTCAGCCCCAGCCACCTTCATGGCCTCCAATTGAGCCGTGTACTCGGGAATTTCATCATCCCGAAATGGCTGTTTGTCCATAACACAGCCGAAGAACGGGCTTACAGCTTGGGCTTCAAAATCTGTGGTGCTGTAGAGTTCAAAGAAGTCTTCAATTAGCTCCAGGACGGTGATCTCTTCCGGAATCGGTCGCATTTTGAACAAGGTGCACGCGTAGTTAATGCCACGGAAAATGTTCGGCGGGCAGCCTGCCTGCAGTTGCTTGACACTGAGCAGCAGGCCTTGCTCCTGCAGGCTGACGATGATCATGCAGATCAGGCAATAGTTACTCATTCTGCAGCTTTCAATTAGATTATTCGACCAGATCTTCAGGAACAGGCTCAGGTCGCGCACAATCTTACTGCGCCGCATCAGATTGCCGATGAACTCGGAATTGTAAGCGCCATTCGGATGGTACACATGGATGTTGAGGTTCAGCTTGGACAATCGATGCTTACACCGGATAATGGGCTCCCTGGTGCGGGGTACCTTGGCGACACCTAAGAATTTTTTATCTTTGTTGGTGGTTAGAAAATCCATGAGCACGGCATGCAACTGACTCTGGGACATGGACGGATCGTTGTAATCTCTCACGTACAAATCGAGGTCGCTATCTGCGCGTGTAGAAACATGAATTAGCATGTTGATAGCTCCTGTGTGTGTACACGAAAACTACACTTACCCTGCAGAGCCAAGTCCGTGACCAGCGAACCAAAGGCAGACACCTCCACGATCCCCTTGTCTTTCAGGCCACTTTTGATGCACCTGCGAATTTGATCGTAGGACTTCTTCAGCTTTATGGGATCGCAAGTATACAAAGCTATCACGGCGTTGAGGTGACCACCAGGCGGCGAAACCTTCAGCGCATTTTGGAGCTCGCTACGGTAGTCCCTTGATGGTGAGACGTTCAGCGGCTTGCGCCCTCTTGCCACCTGCGGTTTGGTGGCAGGATTTGACTGCATTATTTACGGGAAACTAATACTCCCAACGTTTTTAGCTTGGTAAATATTTGAAGTTTGTCCATCAGATTTTCGATTTCATCTGATTTTAAAACAAAATGGCGCTAAGTTCCCGGCAAAAATACTGTTGCCATGCATAGGCCGCATAAAATACTAAATAAATCGAAAGGCTAAACTTTCAATGTTATCGATAGTGCCAACCTAAAAAACAACTTCTTCATTCTCATGGGAACATTTTTAATTATTAAATTATAAATTATATAAATTTGCTTATATCCCATTTATATTTGTACAGAGAGTAGGCATTTTTTAGAATTTCAAAGTTAAAAATATTTCCTATCGTTATCGACCCCGCACGGTCACACTGAGCCTCCTCACAGCTGTTCGCCTTGTCCCCATTCGCTGATATCTCCAAACACACCTTCTGCCGGAGAGACGGCGCAGTTCCAAACAAATCGAGGCAGGAGCATTAGCAACCAACTGCCCGAAACACCCCCAACCAGCCCGTGCAGCGCCAGAAGACGCACTGCAGCAGAACCAAAACACAGTCGACACTGTAGCCGGAGAATATAGCATGCGATGAACGCATTGCGCAACATCTTTACCTCGCGAACGCTCAACTACCTGCGCCAGAATGGACAGAACGCGATCCTCAACGCCACGCAGCAGCAGCCGGCCGCTGCAGTGGAGCTCTCCGATGCCGAAGCCTCGCTGAAGCCGCGTCCCTCTCCGCTCTCCATACCCCGGTCCATTCTCGACGCTTGCCACTTTACCGCCAAGCCTTTCGAGGCCGGACGCACCAGTGGCCAGGCATCCAGTGGTTCGCTGTCGCCAACAACCCTGAAGCGCTTCCGTCGCATGCAGCGACGCATGGAGCTGGTGTATCGCTGCAAGCTGTGCAACACCCGCAACACAAAGACCATCAGCGAGGAGGCCTACTACAGCGGCGTTGTGATCCTCCAGTGCGACGGCTGTGCCGTTGATCATTTAATCAAGGATAATCTCGGTTTATTCACCGCCAGCGATGGCAGCGACAGCAGCAGCATCAGCTCCGGGATCAGTACCAGCAAGAACATCGATCAGGTGCTATCCGAGCGGCATGCCCGCGTCCGTGTGATCAAGGTGAACGAGCGCGGCGAGCTCATTTAGGCATCTAGTCAAGGCATCAGCACTTAACCCTGATGCCTGCATCTCAGTCAACCTGTGAATCGTGTCCAAGGAGGACTCACTCAGCCAGGGGGGACAGCCCACGAAGAGCAAATGCATCCGCACCCGCTACTGCACACCTGAACCAGCAGGCAAACAGCTTTTGTTTGCAAGAAGACAGCCGGCTAAAACTATGATAAAAATGTACCATTAAAATCGTTGATTGTTGATTTGTGCCGTGATTAAACCAACGAACGTCCCAGTGTTCGAAATCTATAGAAAAGCGTGTTGTGTTTGTATATTTTCCATATGTTTCTGGTAAATCCGTGGCAATCTAATCGCTGACTAATGATGTGTGTTTATTTGATACTAGAAAATGCGAAATGCGTAGCTGGGCGTACCGACAAGGTGGGCCCCGGGAGGGGCTTGTGTCGCGACTCTTTCCTAATTGATCAAATCGATCAAAACACAGTTTCGCGGGCCGCTAATTATCGCTAAAGTTATCTGAATTGGCACGGTGCCAACAAAATTATTCACACATATGTATGTATATCGCATGGCGCTAGACTATGGGCTTATATAGAGCGCACGCCCCACGCGAGTGATCGCCGGAGCTGCTTCTTCGCCTTGAAGACACACTAACCACCAGCGAAGGGGGTAGCAGCAGCAGACGGGTTTTAAGGGGCGGGCCAGCCACATCCACGTGCCTGTAATTTCACCAGGGGGCTTTAGGGGACATTGATCCCAGGTTCTCTGTAAACTATAATATATTCCAAGTGCCCATATCACACGGAACATAAATATCTAAAACAATATCAATAGATTTTCTTTAAAGAGTTGTTGGTAGAAAACTAGGTCCAAGAATTAGAAACGGAAATGTATACGACTTGGGTTTTGCCTTCAACATATAATTTTGTCCTGGTAATAAAATATTTCACATCAGGAGTTATGCTAAAATCTCTCAAGAATTGCGTTCATCTCAATCATCTTTCTTTAAGAAAGAACCAGATAGCAGACCTCCAAGAACTTCAGTATCAGAAAGGATGCCAGATCCCTGACCTCTCTTATCCTCGCAGAAAATCCGTGTTCGGTAGCAGCCGGCGATAGCTATAGATCCAGCGTACTGCTCATTCTGCCGCAGCTCAAGACGCTGGACATAGATCGCGTCGTCACCAACAAGGAGCGGCGGGTACTCTCTTCAGAGCCAAGAGTTATCCTTCCCGATCAGAACAGTGTGGATCAGGCAACTGTTCCCCAGCCTCTTCCCACCAACTCTTCGAACTTGTGCCAAAGCCCAGGCTCTTACTTCCAGGGGCACTTTTGGAGGAGGTCGGCAAAATTTTGGCAGGGATTCCATGCCATGGTTTATGGGTTCCAAAGTCGCAGTGGCGCTCAGAGTACGTGTCCAGCATAGTCGGGAGTGCTTGGCTCCTCTGGAACAAAAGCCAGGAAATAACAGAAGCCACATCCCCAGAGACAAGGCCATTGCCTCGGCATTAGCGTGCGTTGATGCCATCACCTTGCGCCGGGAGCTAGAGCTCAAGGATGATATATCCCTTTACAGCTGCAATGTAGGGACTCTAACGTCTCTTGATGGGAGCCTTCGTCCTGGCCAGAGAGATGGATGCCTCCACTCTGGAGGTACTTTGCCGCGCTATTCAAGATGTAGTGTTGAAGCTGTCGCCTTTGAAGGAAAGGCCTCAGAATTTACTTTTATACGAGTAATCAGTAGATAGTAGTTGCTATTTTGAAAAGGTTTTCTTAAATCGATATTGTTAACGTAATTGTATGTTTAGACTCACAATTCAAGAATAAGTGTTAAAGTGTAATATTAGAGTTTGTGAAACACAAAAATACATTTTGTAGCCTTTTTTTTTTTTTTTTAGAAAAAATGTTTGTACTAAGCTGGAGGTGTGTGCTTATAAAAGTATATTGAACAACTGAAGCATTTTTCATAGCACCTTGTGTAAGTTTCGTTTCTGTAATTCATAGGTTGCTGCGTTCAACAAAAAAGTACATTTATTATCGGGTTTTAACTATATGAAGTCTGCTACCTCAGAATTACAAAAAAAAATTAATCAGGGTGCTTAGAAAAATCTGTCAGTTAAGGTCTTTAGATAAACTTTTTGTAGCCCCAAACCTGATCTAAATATTATTTGTTATTTCTTTCTAAAATTCTGAAAATTCTATAAACAAAAATTTCAAAAATTCTATAAAATAAAATTTCTAAAATTCTATAAACTAAAATTTCCAAAATTCTATAAACTATAATTTCTAAAACTCTATAAACAAAAATTTTAAAAATTCTATAAAATAAAATTTCTAAAATTCTATAAACTAAAATTCTGAAAATTCTATAAACTAAAATTTCTAAAATTCTAAAAAATAAAATTTTTAAAATTCTATAAACTAAAATTTCTAAAATTCTATAAACTAAAATTTCCAAAATTCTATAAAATAAAATTTCTAAAATTCTATAAACTAAAATTTCTTAAATTCTATAAACTAAAATTCTGAAAATTCTATAAACTAAAATTTCTAAAATTCTGTAAACTGAAATTTCTAAAATTCTGAAAATTCTAGAATCTATCTATCAATTATAATATATAATATAATATTTATAGTTCAGTTATGATCTCTTTGGTCGTGTTTTTATGCCTCTAGACCAATGCCAAATGAGCATACAAAGTCGCTGTTTACCGAGTAAGCATGACACAACACTTTTGTTGACGTCAAAACATAATTAAAAATATATATAGTACATATTATTATTATTTGAAAAGAAAACACACACGCGGCGATGAGAGACGACGAGAGAAGATTTTAATTCCTGGGTTCCCGTTCCGCCTTGGATGGCGTCCATCTTCCGTGAGAGTCTAGACGTGCGACAGCAACAAAACTGTAAAGATAAACCCCGGGTGATAGTGATAAGACCCACCCACCGACGTCACCGAGTGAATAAAAGGGGGTTTGTTTTCTTCTGTTTTTTCTTTTTTTTGTTTTGTTTTCTTTTAAATTATTTAAACCTATTTATTCGAGAATACTTCGAATATGCGTGTGTGTGTATCGTACTAAAATCTCATTCGATATTGCTAGGATATAAATAGAATTGTGATTTGTTGTTTGTTTCTCTCAGTTAATCAGTTAATTTACATTAGCTTTAGTTATAGTTTAGTTCAGAAGACTTTCACTTAGATCTATAAAATATTCATTATCCATTAAGAGTGCTACCTGGGTTTCAGTTTTTTTCAGTTATTATTTATTTTAGTTTAGGTTTCCTCCTTGGGTTGAGTTTCTTTTTGCTTTCTTGTTTTGTTTGTTTTTTGTTTTCCATTTAAGGTTTGAGGTTGATCTCTCTATTTTGTCTCCTGGAAGCGCACTTTTGTTCCGATAATCTCCTCCAAACTGTCTCTCTGGACTCGTTCTCCTCTTTCTCCTCGTGTTAACTATTTCACAATTTGTTTTGAATAAAGCCCCTCGATCCGGCATGTTATCAGCATTTAGTGATAAGCGGATTTTTGGCTGCCTTCTTTTACTATTTTTTTGTTTTTGTATTATTTTTAAAGTTTGCATGAGTAATCATCAGAGCAGGATCCTCCGGGTATCTGCGAAATTGTGCTAAATACGAACTTAGGCCTAAAAATGGGAAAGCTTCTCTGCGGAAATCTCCTCTCTAGTTCCAGTATATATTGCCAAGGAGCCTGCGTAGGTATATATATCTACTGTTAATACAGCTTACATATGTACAGAATAGCTTTAAAATATATATTAAGAGTTAGGGCTAGGTTTTTGTGGGCCTCTCGTAATTGTAATCTCTCTGCCTTGCTCTCAGATTCTCAGTCATTTTGGCGGACGCACTGTGGTCATATATTTTGTGTTTCTATTTCTCCTGCTGACCTTAAGCTTACGGCTCAGTTTATGCGGCGCTTAGTAACTTAGTTAATTAATTAGTCGGCTTTGCTATCTGCTCTATGTGTGTATATATAAGTTAAGTTAAGTTTAGTTACATAGAATACTCTTTCGAAATACTTGGTAATGTGTGGAATGTCTCTTACCGGAGCGCGGGGGAAGGAATGTGTTTACAATTCTTACATGGCTAACATTACAATCATTGGGAGAAGGACGTGAAATTGGCACAGAAATGTTTAATATTTATTCTTATAAATAATATTATAAATATACTAGGGTTGTAAGTACAGAGCTAGCTCTCTCTTTCTCTCTTGATCATATGCCGTCTCTTTCATTTTGAACTTACTCAAGAATCATTGGGAACTTGTGGAGGGAAGGAAGTGTGTGTGTCTAGCTTAGGCCTAAATGTTTGTTAAATACTTTGTTTTGCTTTAAGTACCAGCTACAGGTTACAGTTTACAATTTAAGGTTTTAAAAAAATACAAAATACACTCAATGAAAACCAATTACATGTACAATTACCAATCATTGTATAAATGTAAGGAAAGCTGCCTTTTTGAGTTGCTTAGAAAACTATTTGACATATCGCCCACGACCCCGACCACGACCACGGCCACGTCCTCCGCCTCCGCGTCCACCCCGACCGACGCTCGCTGCCTTGATCTTGTCCTTGTCCTTGTCCCTCTCCCACTCCCTATCTCACAGACTACTACGACCGGAGCGTCCCACAGCACCGACAGCACCATTGGGTCGATTGTGGCGACGCTTGTGGAGATACAGGCCGGCCGCCTGGGCAAAGGCCGAGCCACAGATCTGGCAGACATAGCGCTTGACCTTGTCGTGAATCTGCTTGTGGTTCTGCAGGTTCTTCGTGGACTTGAATGTCTTGCCGCAGATGTCGCACTTGAACTCCTCGTTGCTATAGTGCTGCTTCAGGTGCTCAAACAGGCTGTTGCGGGCCACAAACGATTTATTGCACTGCGGATAGTCGCATTTGTAGCACCGCTCGCGCTCATCCTGATGCACAATCCGATGGGCATTGAGGTGGCCCGGTGTTGCAAAGCTCCGGTGGCATACCTCACAGCCATAAGGCTTGGCCACATCGCTACCCGCTGCCGTTGTGCCATCCTCCTCATCGTTCAGGTCCACTGCTGGTAATGATTTCGATGCACCTGCAGCGTTCCTCTTGCGACCTCTACCTCCGACAGTAGGCGGCGGCGGCGGCGCTGGTGCCTCATCCTCCATTTCGTCCGCAGTGCCGGCCTCTAAAATGCTATGATTCATGGCCAGCGAAGGCAGGAATAGCTCCTCGTTATGCCTCCGCAAGTGCTCATCATAGTTGGCCTTCTCCCGGAAGCTCGCCGTGCAGAGTTCACAGTTGAATTTGATTTCATTGCCGGCGCCCAAATGCAGTTGCTTGTGACTCTCAAAGTCCTCGGCATTGTGAAACTGAATGGTGCAAATGTTGCAAAAGTAACCACCGCCCAGGCTGGGCTGATGGCTGAGCATGTGGAGATCCAGTTCTCGGAGTGTCTGCACAATCTCCGGACAGTGCTGGCACTTGAACGGCGGTATATCCTCGTCCATAAAGTGCATCTGATCGTAGTATATATAGTTGGCAATAAACTTACGGCCATGGCGTTCGCAATTCAGGCGCTCCATCTTCTGTTTGGAGTAATCAAAGCGCAGCTGCGAGATGCGCTTAGAGATTTGAATGGTGGTCACATCGATCAGTTGCTGCAGCTCCATGGCCATCTGATGAAGGCCCTCGCCGCGTCGTTCCTTACTGCGATAATCAGGATCGAAGCGATTGTAGAAGCACTGGTAACGCTTCACCATGCTGAGTAGCTTGGCCGTCGAGGTGTCATTCCAAATGGCCGAGAAACGGCGACGATACGATGTTTCCTGTTGGGTGATGAAGTGAACCAAGCAATTAGTAGGAGAAGAAGGAGGAGTCCAAAATCCAACTCACCTTGACCACGGCATCGGACATCTTGTCGTTGTAGCTGTAGACCTCGTTGAGGAAATGCAGCTCCTTGAAGTACCACAATGTGCTAATGTTGGTCTTCTCCAAGGCCATCCGATTGCACTCTCGCTTGTACACTGTCCGCAGATTGTCCCACTTTCGGGTGATGGCATCCTTGGCCAGGGAGATATTAAAGCGGCTCTTGAACTCCAGCACGATCCAGTCGAGGAAGCGGGCACGCTTGACGCGATCACGAAACTGGGGATTCCCGTGGTCCCACAAGAAGGGATTGCGCTTGTACGAATGGATGAGGAACTTGATCATTTTGCGGTCCTTGATGTGCATGGTCACCTCCCGATCGCGCTTTAGTTAACAAAGAAAATCAAAAGAAATTATTAGAATAATTAAGAGAATCTTTAGAGGTGTTTGTCTGCCAAAAACTCACCCCCAGCAGGGACTCCTCCACCATCTCGTCGTAGCTAAGGAACGTGGAATCTAGGCACAGCTGGCTTGGCTCAAAGGGCTCGCCATAATCCATATATTCGCCAGAGTTTTCGTCCATATAGCTGTTGTCCAGATCACCGTAATCGTCCGTAAAGGAGTCACCATCTCCCTCGGCATCGGCCATGATCAGTGGCGTCTCGTTTGGCATTACCGTTTGTCGTGGCTTTGTCACCTTCATCCGCGTCTTGGGCTTGTGGCCGCCGCCGGCACTGCTGCTGCTCACCGCCGGCACATCGCTCTCGGGCAGTATGGCCTCGTTGTTGTCGTCATCGTCGTCGTCGTGGTCTGCCTCGGAATCCGCCTCGGAATCAGCCATGTCCTCGTCGGCATCGCTGCAGGGCAAATCTTGCAGCTCCTGTTTGATGACCATCTGCGGCTCCAGCAGCGCTGTATCGGCGTCCGTCAAGTCTTCGATCTCATGAAAATTTGGCAGCAACTGCTCCCTTCCCGCGTCCGATAGCGACATTGGATCGCCAAGATGCAGGCCCCGGAGAGTGCTGGCTGAATTGGAGGTGGAGGAGGATGTACCGCCGCCGCCGCCGCCAGCGGCCGTTGAGGAGGCACCAACGGCGGCGGCGGCTTCGGCTGGATTCGCCACAGACTGATCCCCCAGATGCGCCGTCTGCATGTGCCCCATGAAGGAGTCAAAGTAGAGGAACTTCTCGCTGCAGAATATGCAGCGCAGGGCGAAATACTGAAAGTCCTCGGTGGCCGTAACCACCCCGCAGTCCTTGCCGCAGTGTCGGAAAATCTCCTCATCGTTGGTACGTGGATACGCCAGCACACTCATGGCGCCGCCTGCGATCCGGTTGTGGTCCGGTCCCGGGGCACACGCAAGCAGTTAATTTCTGGTATCGCCTCGGGGTACGCAGCGCACGGCACTCGGTAGCTGGATTCTCCTGTTCTCGCTTTTCTTTTTTAAATAATTATTGCCAATAAAAAAAACTTTGCCGTTTTTGGTGTTGGTGTTGTTTAGAGATGGGATTAGAGCGTACAGTTGTATTTTGTTTGCTTATCGGTATCGAGAGATGATGTGGTATCGATAACGATATAGTGCTGCCAACTATCCCAAGGAAAAGTAGTTTGGCAAAAAGGTTAATAGATTTAGAGTTTTATGTTTATTATTATTATTAAACAAAAATAAGAATATAAACAAGTTTAAATGAAAAAATGGCTAAAAAGAAGTAGCTAAATGTATAACTTTTACAAAAAAAAAAACAGAAATTAGCTACACTGGTCATACTCTATTATGTGCCGTTTTCCCCTTGCTCTGCCTCTGGTCACATTGTCTTCTGATTTCGTCGGCTCATTCAGCGTGTTTTAGTTTTTCTCGCTTTAATTCACTCAATAAACTTAGTAATTGACTAAATCCCATACACAATGGCTTCGATTAGCTTGCTGAACCCCAAGGCCGAGTTCGCCCGCGCCGCCCAGGCCCTGGCCATCAACATCAGTGCCGCCAAGGGACTGCAGGATGTGATGCGCACCAATTTGGGACCCAAGGGAACCGTCAAGATGTGAGTAAAACAGCATAAATATATAACTATTACCAGCCCCGTTCCAATGTGACAGGAGTTTTAGTTAAAATTCAAGAAAATACAGCCCAAGACAAGCGTTTTCCTAGCAGCTGCGTCTGCCGAAAGTTTGAGGTTAGACTTGAACTTGGCGGCATGCGTCATCGTAGGCCAGAAAGAGATAGCAGCATCTGAAAGCTAAAACAAGAAATTAGTGATTTTTTATGTTTTCTATTAGTTTTAGCTAAATTCTTTCAATGAAACTGTGCTAGTTAGGACTTATTTATGTTTGGAATGGTCAAAATACTTGAGTTTCAAGGTTTGGTGTCTGAGAAAACAAGACCTAAACGCTCACGTGCTTCACGTTTACTCATGTTTGTTCTGGAACCTTCGCAGGCTGGTGTCTGGCGCCGGCGACATCAAAATCACCAAGGACGGCAATGTGCTCCTTCACGAGATGCAGATCCAGCATCCCACTGCTTCGATGATTGCCAGGGCCAGTACCGCCCAGGATGATTCCACTGGCGATGGTACCACCACCACGGTGATGTTGATTGGAGAGCTGCTGAAGCAGGCCGATATCTATCTGTCGGAGGGTCTACATCCACGCATCATGACCGAGGGCTTTGAGAAGGCACGTGACAAGGCACTGGAGGTGCTCGAGAAGGTCAAGGTGCCCGTGGAGATCAGCAAGAAGAGTCTCGTGGAGATTGCCAATACCAGTTTGAAGACCAAGGTGCATCCAGGTCTGGCCGATCTCCTCACCGAGGTGTGTGTGGATGCCGTGCTGACCATTGCTAGCAGCGATAAGAACAAGCCGGTGGATCTCCATATGGTCGAGCTGATGGAAATGCAGCACAAGACCGACACCGACACCCAGCTGGTGCGTGGCCTGGTCATGGACCATGGCGCCCGCCATCCCGATATGCCTAAGCGTCTGGAGAATGCCTACATCCTGACAGCCAACGTGTCGTTGGAGTACGAGAAGGCCGAGGTCAACTCTGGATTCTTCTACAAGACCGCCGAGGAGCGTGAGGCCTTTGTGCGCGCCGAGCGTGACTTTATCGATCAGCGCGTGAAGAAGGTGATCGAACTGAAGCGTTCCGTGTGCGACGGCACCGACAAGACCTTTGTGCTGATCAACCAGAAGGGCATCGATCCCATCTCGTTGGATGCTTTGGCCAAGGAGGGCATCCTGGCGCTGCGTCGTGCCAAGCGTCGCAACATGGAGCGTTTGGCTCTGGCCTGTGGTGGCACTGCCATGAACTCGTTCGACGATCTGCAGGAGGAGCATCTGGGCTATGCCGGTGTGGTGTACGAGCATGTTCTGGGCGAGAACAAGTACACGTTTGTCGAGGACTGCAAGAATCCCCTGTCCGTGACGATCCTCATTAAGGGCCCCAACAAGCACACCATCACCCAGATCAAGGATGCCATCAGGGACGGTCTGCGGGCCATTAACAATACCATTGCGGACAAGGCTCTGGTGCCCGGCGCCGGTGCCTTTGAGGTGCGCGCCTACAATGAACTGGTGGCCTTTAAGGAAACCATCAAGGGCAAATCCCGTTTGGCCGTGCAGGCCTTTGCCGATGCCCTGCTCGTCATACCCAAGACGCTGGCCGTCAACAGTGGCTACGATGCCCAGGACACCATTGTCAAGCTGACGGTGGAGGATCGCCTCAATCCAGATCTCGTCGGTCTCGACATTGCCACCGGTGAGCCCATGAAGCCAGTGGATCTGGGCGTCTACGACAACTACATTGTGAAGAAACAGATCCTCAACTCGTGCTCGATCATTGCCAGCAATCTGCTGCTCGTCGACGAGGTGATGCGTGCGGGCATGACCAGCCTCAAGGGCTAGTAGAACTTGGTCGCCTTAAACTCTCACGTTAACCAAGTTAATGCACCGCCTGCTACTCAACCCGCGTCGTCAAACCAACCGAAACAGGCAGCAACATCGCCCGGAACTGTTTGCGGTTGTGCAAGTATTCACAAAATATTTAAAAAAACATAAAAGAAGAAAAGAAACAAATCGAAACAAGAACACATAACATACAAACAGCAAACATACTTATAACGCTAATGTATTTCTCTATTTTTTTTCATTACAACTAATGTTTACTTACTCCAAAAAACCAACCATTGGTTTAAAAAATAAAAACTATTGAAACCTAATAGATCTGTGAGTGATTTCGTTGCAAGTTTTGGTGATTTTCAGGTTACATATTATCAATATTTTGTATAAATTTGTAGACCCTTGCTGGGTGTTATAATTTATATCAAAATTTTCTTGTTTCCCATGATATCGGTTCAAGGAATATCAATTTATTCTACAAATATCTTTAAAATATAGGTTTATATATAGACTTTAATGTCAGTTATCGATACTATACCCATATATCTATATTTTTTACTACTTTCTAACTCACAGGACGTCCATTTTATGATTTTAATTATAAAATAGCTGCAACTAATGGTTTTATAATATAATTTTTATATATTTTAAGGTCTTGGCTTTAAGAATTCAAATTCCCTCTCTAAATTCTCTCTTTCTCTCTTACCCATCTCTTCTCCTGGCTGTGCATTATCTTTAAAGCCAAAGGATAAATTTCCATTTTCGATGTAGTCCTTTCTTTCCATCGCATTCCCTTTTGATTTGCCCCTTCAGTGTGACACATAGGAAATGCACAAGAAAATTACGAAAAAAACAAAACAAAAAACGACAAAAAGAAATATATATTGCGGCCCATTGGCATCGGACTCGGTTCCCTCACGGAATTATGCTAATGTGGCCGACACCATCGACTCGCACAGTACATATCCCAATTTCCCCCGGGGCAGCCATCGATTTGACACGGTCCCTGGCAGCGAGGGTGCACTGTAGTGAAGGGAAGAACAAAAAAAAAACCCTTTCTGGGGAAATGTCTAAAAGGATTTCTCATGTCAACGCACGGAAATTGATATTGAAATGAGCATGATAATGAGCTTCAAATTTGCTTCCTTCGCTTCCTTCGCTTCCTTTTGGCCATTTACACTTGTGTACATAAGGATGAATATTAAAATAAATATATATAAAATATGGGTAAATATTAAAATTGGTTTTTTGATAGATAAATAATTTTATATATTTATATATTATATTTTATTTATTTATATATTTATATGTTAATTTGAACAACAACTATTATTTTGCGGCTGTGTGTTGTCACACACACACTCTCTATCAGGCGACTATTTGAGGTGAAAATGTATTAAAATGCGTTTGGAAATGTATTTTATTCGTTTGGGAATCCTGAGCGGAATCCTTTTGCTTCTCCGTTGGCTTATTTGATTTCTCACCCTCGTCACAGGGCACACAACACACCCACCACCCACACACACACACACACATCCTGCAACAAGCTGCTGGTGGATTTATGTTGAACATTTGATTCTTGGTCAGCGCTTTGTTACCTGTCGTCGTCCCTGTCCATGTCCTTCTGTCCCAGGATATGCCTGCTCTGTGTTTGTGGACCTCAAATTGGATTTTCCGCCGTTTCCAATTTGATGATTTAAGACAAATGAACGGACATTTGTCCACGGCAAAACTTTGGGTTAAATGTAAATTTTTGCATTAAAAATGAAAACAAAAATGAGAAAATGGAGAAGAAGAAGTTTCCATTTCGCTGACTTCATTTACAAATCCCCCCGCCTTGGACTTGGTGTGACTTAAATGTATTTGTTGTTGGCATTTTTACGCAAATTTCCTTTTCTTGCGCTGCCTGTCGTTTAATTAATTTTTAGAGCCAGCCGAAAGGCGAAAGGCGAAAGGCTGAATGCTGAAAACAGGAGCATAAAGAAAAAAAAAACTGCTGGAAATTGATTTTTGTTTGCCTTCGACTTAGCGGAATTAAATAAATTAGCGCTAAAAGGATTACGACGCCCGTCGGTCAGCCTTGCTCACGCCTCCTCCTGCTCCTTTTCCACCTCCTCCGCCTCCTTTGCTTCATAAATCATTCATTTCCGCAACTAGGACGGAGACGGCCAAATAATTTCTTATTTAATTTGTACATGTCCTTGCCGTTTGGCAAGCGCTGAACGGTTTTTCTAGCTGAAATGGGAGAGGTCCTTAACTGAAGAGCATGTAGTTGAGTGGGAAAATAATATTTATACTTAAGTATTTATTATTTTTATTTATTTATATTAAATGGAAAATATTTTATTTTTTTAATTTATATATATAATATGATTATATATTATTTATATATCATAAAAATAATATTTAAATTAAATTTCAAATATTTTTGTGTGTCAAAATCGATTTTAAATCGATTATTTTCGATAATTTTCTCTAATTACAATGTTAAGAAAGTTGCTGTTAGGCGAAAGGATATTATTTTTAAACTTTTTTTATAATATTAAATATTCGTAAATTTGGTTTTTAATATTAAAAAAAAAGGTTTTCTGGTGTGTGTTTTTTGTGTTTTTAAGGGTTTCCAAGGGTTTATATTTTA